CAATTTAAGGCGGCATTCGTTTGTAGTGTGGCAAGAAAATGCAGTGGTTAAGGTTTTTGGTTGTAATTATATCAGATTGTATTGTTTGGAGGTGTGTAAACATTCTTTCTATACATACTCTCTTTGTTTCATAGTTTCTTTGGCTTAAGAAGCTCACAGTATAAAAAAAGTGGAAATGAAAGTTTCATTTCTTTGGATCCATGTGCAAATATAATAGTACTCCCTTCGTCCCATTATAATTTGCCCGTTTGAATATTTACGGTATCAAATGTAACATTTTGGTTCTTAGTAGTTGTAAATAATTGCACATTGGAGTATACAATTACTCCGCATGACATCTCAAAATTATATTTCAAAATCAATGTAAAATAAATGATTTATATTTATTTTTAGATAAAATATATATAATGTTCATTTCTCTTTACATTAAGTCAACAGTTTATTGCACTAAAAAAGTCTATTTTGAACGATTCATTTTTCTTCTGTTTTTTATTTCAATCAATTAAATATAAGTAAAAAATGTTATGATGTGGTGGACAAAGTATTTGTATGAAATTAGAGCATTTTTTTTATGTAAAAGTGATTATGCATCATTTTTATGAATGTACCAAGTACTTATTTTATGACCTTTTCAAAATAGTTCAAAACAGAAATGAGCACATTTATTTTTATCTAAAAATCAAGTACTCCGTAATTTCTACTCATGTAATATTTGTATGAAAATAAAACAGTTGGTGCAAAAGTGTGAATTATTAATTTTAGAAGGAACGATGTGAAATCACAAATTTGTTAGAGTATCCCTATATATTTTTCCAATCCGGTCAAATATTGTGAACATTGATAAAAAAAAAGTCATGGAGACAAAACAAATTAGAACGAAAACCTTTATAAAAAAAGATGAATGAAATTGCAAATCCTAATTTTAGCCAGCCAATTTGGCAATTGTGGGGGAAGGGGGATTTACGAGGATATGAACTATTAATTTTACGAACAGAGCATCGTAAATAATCTACATAGCTAGTGTCGTCATAGTTTCAATAAGTATTGGTGTAACATTATTCCTTTTCATAGAAGGCTAATGTGGCACCAACAACAATTGACACCTTCCCTAAAAAACATTTGCCATCAATAGTGACACCAAAACAATTGGGCACATGCAGTATTCCATTCGTAAAATTGATCTTTTAGAGCAAGTTTTTAGAGCTTAAACTCTTAACTTCCAGTCTCTTCCAGTTCTTCCAATTTCTTCTAGTTCTTTCTAACTTCTTCCAGTTTTTTCCAACTATTCTCATTTTTTACTTCAATTTTTTCTAATCCTCAAACAATTACTCTAAAAAAGATGTATTTTTAATGTGATTATTATTTCTATCATTATAATAATAAAAATAATTATTATTATTAGTATTGTCTTCATTATTATTATTATTACAACAATTATGTTCATAACTATAGTTTATAAACTATTTTATTTTAAATATTTTTCCATGTCACTAGTTTTATGATCCACACTTTTCTAAATTGATATGAGAAACATTTTTCAAATTTTTATAAAAAATTTTGAAAGTCAAAATATATTAGAGAAAGTATGCTAAACTATGAGTAAAACATAAAAATGTACCAAATAATCAAATATGAGTTCTATATTATTATTCCCAAAATAAGAGTTACAGTGCAAATACAATGTGACATGTCTGATATTTAAAATAAAATCTTGTAATATATAAAATTTAATTACAAATATATATTTTTATAATAATAAATACTGCATAAATAAATTGAGGTGCAACGTAACCACAATAACTTTTTAAAACTTAACATTTTAATATTTATGCTAATTTTATATTCTAATTAATTTTTTTTGTGAAAGTAGATTTTTGTCTATGAAAAATGGCAATACTTTTTTATCTTAAAGATACTGATTAAGATAATGTGATTATGAATATAATAATAATAATAATAATAATAATAATAAATTTTAACAATAATTAGAATGAGAATAATATAAAAAATAAACTTAAATAAATTTTTTGTAGTTTTTTTAGATTTTCAAATTTTTTCCAGCTTTTCTGGTTTCATCGAATTTCTTTCAGTTCCTTCCAGTTTTTCCAGCTTTTCCAGTTTTTTCCAATTCCTTCCAGTTTTTTCTAGTTTTTTCCAATTCTTCCAATTTCGTCCAATTTCTCTCAAAGACCTATCAATGTAGTATTTATTCAATCTTAAAATATCAACTTTTTAAGGGCAAGGCGGGGACTCAAGTACTAAATATGGAGAAGCTTGGGGTGGCTTGCTTGCCACACCAACATACTTCCACAATGATAACTTATTGAGCAATGCTAGGGTACACCAAAGGTGTACCCCATTTGTCCCACATCCCTTTATCCACCATTCATTTTTATTTTATTTTTATTTATTTAATTTGTTTTTAGTCTCTTGCCCATTTTTGTGGTAATAGAGAGGGTGGGGGACAAATGGGGTAATTTTAGTAACTTACTAACTTATTTAGTTGAAAGTGATACATATAGCTAGTATGAATTAAAGAATCAAATAAGGCGGTCAAAATTAAAAAATGACAAGTGTAAATAATCAAGTGAGACAGACAAAGCAAATTTTAAGTATTGTACTTCGTAATTTTATTTTTAAATTTTGTACCCGTTTTCAAATGCCTCATTTGTCCCAAAAAACTCTTTACAACTTTATTTTTATTAATCATACAACTACATATTTTGACCACAAACTATGACGAGAATTTTTTTTAGTTATAATAATGCAAATTTAACACAATTAGATTCATTTTAAAATATAATTTTGATATATCAAATTTTTTTAACACCTATTTATTTAAAACTATGTATCAATTTGAGGTGCAAAGATTACAAAACTTCACTTATGTATCATAAACCAAAGCAAAACATTCTAAACATTTATAGTGATAGATATCTCAACAAACTCATCATTCCGAGATGTGAGATAAGGCTGGCCAAATACTTTGTCTCTTGCCACGAAAACACAATCCAAAATCACTAGACCCCATAAATTAAGGGACAAGTGGGAAAAACAAAGACACATCTGTGGTGTATTTCACATACAAATTTCTATATATTATTGTGCAGTTGTACTCCCTCTTCTCATACAAATTTCTAAGAGGTATGATAGGATATATGTGGTGGTTGGCGGTGACAATAATAATTAGTGGCGAAGAACGGTCACTTCCTTAAGATAATATATATCGTACTAGGATGTAAACATAAGTCTTATTCTTGTACTCCGTAATAAAATTTCTATGTTTTTATTCAAAGCAGAACTTTTTTTCATTGTGACAATCTGACACCATATTTTGACATTTTATAGTGTTTTTAGTGAGTACTCCGTATTATAGTGTAGATAATAATATGGATGTCTTATTTTGTTTTCCTTTTTATGTTTTAGTTATATTTTGGTCTTTTATTTTTAAAAAAACAAAAACAAGAGTAAAAATACGAAAAGAACCAACCCCTCCGGTAAACCCCCACCCTGTCCCGATCCGAACACACCTCCCACCCCCTTCAATTGCACCCCACAAGTTAATTTTGATTTTGAAGTCAAAATTTGACTCTAAAGTCAAAACCAACTTGTGGGGTGCAATTGAAGGGGGTGGGGGAGGGGGGGACTGTGTTTGGGTCGGGGCGGGCGGGGGGTTTACCGGGGGGTAGGAACTGTCAATTGTACGAACAGGATACCGGAGCACCCCCTGGTTATCCCATGACATTGCAGGACAATGTCATGGGAACCGTAAGACCTTTATATTTTTAGCCTCTAAGTAGAATCTATAATAGCAATAATGCTAACGTATTATATCAAAAAATACAGTAAAATGTCAATATGGATTATCACAATGTTAAAGTCAATAAAGTGTAATAGCTAGTCTTATTTTATGAATAAAAATATCTCACTCGTATTCTGTAGATAAATTCTACTCCCTCCGTCCCAAAAAGAATGGGACGGTTTGACTTTTTGGGAAATTAAGGGAGGGATATTTTGGTATTGACTTTCCAAAAATACCCTTGATGTGATGGGTAAAAGTAGGATGTGATGGGTAGATTATTAGAAAAAAGGTATGATGTGATAGGTAGGGTATGAAAAAGTAAGGGGTAAAAGTGGTTTTTTAATAGAAATGTAACGGACTTTATGGGACGCAGTTTTTTCTAAACGTAACAAACTTTTTGGGACGGAGGGAGTATATTTTATTTCTATTTTGGATAATTCTTCTAAATTTAATGTTTTAGTCTTATTTAAGTAAATTTTTAATTTATTAGAAAAGTAAATATATATGAGTATAAAGATTATTTTGGAACAATTCAGACATTAGTGAGTAAGTAAATCACGTTATAATCTTAGTCTTATCCTTAAAAAAGTTGTCTCGTGTTCGATACACACAAATATTTACTCTCTCCATTCTAAAATTATCTTAACATTCACTCTTCATTGGGTCATAAACATAATCCACTTTGTTAATCTATTTTCGTTACTTATTTGATAAATGTTATGTTATAGTCATGTCACATGTAGTTTTTTAAATGTATACTCGCAATTTTTATTTTAAATTTTTATACCTATTCTCTAATAAATTGAATTGAAAAAAATTTCAATCAAAAAACGTAAAACATAACAAAAAATTAATTCCCGAATGAAGGGAGTTAAACTTGGCAAACAAAATGACTACAAAATCCATAAACTTATCATTTATGGTTCAAATTCTCATTTTAAAATTATTTCAAACCACTTTACTTTTTTGTTGAAGTTACAAATTTGTGAGATTCTTGACTATTTTGTTTGTGAAGTAAACATTTCACTTTGATAAACACTCACAATATTCATAAATAAATTAGGAGAAAGGACCCCAAGGATAGAGGGATTTGGGTGGGTCGGAGCCTGACTGTCAAATCTTCGTTTATTCTCTCTCTCTCTATCTATCTCTCTTTCCGGAGATTCGATTCAATCGGGCCGATCATTTCTGCTCATATCTCTGTCTCCTTCCTTCACTCACCATAATAATGCTCCCAGATTTTCCAGGTATGTAAATTTCACTCAGAATTACTCAAAATCAATATGCATTTATTCAATTTTTCCCCCTTTTTATTTTCTCACACTGTTCATGTACATATCTGCATGTTAACAAACACAGTCTCTTAATTGAATTTGTATGATGCCTGGCTGTAAAACCATCTCTTCTATTTCTGACAGAATATATTTTCTAAATCTCCCAGAAAAACCAAAAATTCTTCTTTTTTTTCCCATGTTGTTTGCTCCCAGTAATTTTCTCTGTAAAAAAGATGCAAATTATGTGATTGATTTGTAGAGTAGATTGCATAATCTGGGCTGTGTGTGGGGGAGATTCTTCTTTTGAGAGTCTGAACATTGGAGATTTTGGAGGGGTATATATCAGATTAATGATCAGAGTACAGTTTTAAAAGTTTCCTTTTTATGGAAAATGGGATCTGCTTTTAACATCTTATCATACCTTCAAAAAATAGCAATCATATAGACCTGATATTGCACTGGTAATAATTATGATGCATTAATGGGCTCTTACTTTATTCTCCCTTTTTTTTCTTCCATGATCTTCACACCAAGTTCAAAACCATCATTCTCTATCTTTAAAAAAAGTGATTTGGATTGGGGAAACCAGTGGCGGATCCAGGAATTTGTGAGGAGTGTGGACAATTATTACGGGGCCGGGGGCACCATACATGGCAGGGTTCGGGGAATCGGGGGTAGCATCCCGATTTTTTTTTTCAAAAAAAAAATTAAATGAAATTTGAACACCAAAAAAGTCGTAATTTCACTACATAAAATAGAAATGTGATGAATATTGAGCTAAATATGTAAAGAAATATCCAAGTAATTAAAGTGGAAAATCTTTAATTTATATCCAAAAACGGAACGGGGTTTACCCACGTTGCGGGTTTTCTCGTCATATAAAAAAAGATTTGGAAATGGAGACTGGAGAGGGACACATTATTTGTTTACGAAATATGGGAAATTCGCCAATACGGAGTATATCTTTATAGAGATATTCCGTACTATTCAGGTGTGACTATATAAGGATATATAGGTAAATTTCATCCCATTTCCCAAATGAAAATGTGTGACCCGCTCCATGCCGCTATCATAGCTTCCGTATTTAGTTGTAATGTGAGCTTCTTGTCACCGAAACACCCCTGTTTTGCATACTTGAGACTTACGGACACCTAAGTTCTTAGTAAATTTTAGAAAAATGGTGTTTTTTGTTAATGTCCTCGTTTCGGTGCAACTTAGCTTGGGATTATGGTGCAATTGTGGGGTGGGTGGGGGTCATAATATCAAGCATTAGAGATACTGTCTACTTGCAGTCTCCTTAATACCCTCCCTCCATCTCAGGTAGTGACTCCCTCCCAAATCACATAATTACCCTTTAGCCTCTTCTATGCAGTGGACTTGATTGGACTCTCAGCAGCAGCAGCAGCATAGGGAATGGAGGGGGGCATGTTCTCAGGTGGCGGCCGTGGCGGGGATGGGACAGACGGGAAGATTCTGCAGACATTCCAGAAGAGCTTTGTGCAGGTGCAGAGCATATTGGACCAGAACAGGTTGTTGATAAATGAGATAAACCAGAACCATGAGTCCAAAATCCCAGATAATTTGAGCAGGAATGTGAGTCTGATCAGAGAGCTGAACAACAACATCAAAAGGGTGGTTTCTCTCTATGCTGATCTCTCCTCCTCTTTCATTCATGCCTCTGCTGCTGCTTCCTCTGAAGGTGAGTCCAGCAACCACAAGAGAATTAGGCCAGGCTAGCAAGAAAAAGGAGACAAAAAAATATATGCTCATTCTTTATTTGCAGGTAGAACATGATCTTTAAAAGAAAAAGGGAAAAAACATGTTTTTTTTCTTTGCCTGTGGTGTAATAATGCTTCTGGAATTGAAAAAAAAACCAGTTGTTGAGGCAAACTGAAATGATATGTAACATTCTTGTAGGTCTAATTGAAAGATGAATGTTTTTTTTTAATCTTTGGATTTCCTGGCCTTGCAGCAAAGATTCCAGCAGTTCCATTTGGTTTTAAATGCTACAGCACCTGTTTTTCCCCCCAAAAAAAAAGATAACAATTTTTTTAAAGGTGAAATGTCTGAATATAACAACTTTAGGGTGGATTTAGTTACACCCTTTTAAATTTATACTTTTTATTTCTTCATTATACTTATACTTCTTAAAAACTGAATTTATTTTTTACGAGTATTTTACCTCAAAACTAAAGTACAACCGAACGAACACCACCAACAACAATAGCACTTGCAAACAATAGGATTACATGGTCTCTAATTGTTAGCTTTACGATGTTTTGTTCGAAAAACTAATAGTTTCTATTCTCTCTAACTCCAAGTGAACTTCCCTCACTCAGCCCAACCCAAACCGACCCCCCTCCCCTCCCCCTCACCCTACAATTTTAGTTAACTTTGAAGTCAATAAAATTGGCTCGAAAGTCAACTAAATTCGTGGGGTGCAATTGATGCGTACGGATCACAGTGTGAAGGAGCTCATCTCGAACAAATTGATAATCGATCTCAATATGCTTCGTGCGCTTGTGAAAGACTGGATTGGCTACAATATGGAGAGCAGTTGTGCTATCACAGTGGATAGACATGGGAGTATCGTGCAAGACCCCAAGAGAACGCAAGATACTCTTCAACCATTTCAACTCACAAGTAAAAGCATCAAAGGCTCGATACTCAACCTCAGCAGATGAACGAGCAACCGTCGTTGTTTCTTTGTCTTCCAAGAAACAGAGGAATTCCTTAGTTGAACAAACCTCCTAGTCGAAGAACCCCTCGTAAGGGGGCACGTAGCCCAATCAGAATCACACCACCAAGCAAGTTTTTCAAACCAATAAAAGGATTTATTGGTTTAGACTCAATAAATCCTTTTCAGACTCAATAAATCTTTCATTAGTATTTCAACTTTGATAGAATATGCATCCAAAATTTTCAAAATAAAATTTCAATTTCAATTCTTTTCTCGAATTATAATCACTTTTGTCAGAGTTCCTTTGAGTTTTGTAAAGCCGATAGATCATAACTTGCCGTTCAAAGAATTTGAAAGGGAAAAAAAGGAAAATGAGACGGAAATAATTTTACGTGTTTGGTTAGAGAGGAAAAAGAAAATTAAATAAAGATAGAAAAAAAGGAGAGAATTTTTTTCTTTTCCTGCCAAATTTCTTGAGCCAAACATAGTGTTAAAGACCTAAGAGAAGATATGCACAATAGAAAATTTTTTTTAAATAACAAGACAATAGAAAATTTAAAAATAAGACATATAGTACCATTTTTTGTTTAATTAAAATTTTAAATAAAATGACACTAATTAATAATATAAAACAAACCGAAATAAGAATAAGTGAAACATAAAAAGCAACAACCATACACATAAAAAAGAACGGATCCAAGTTTAAATTAATTTTTACTTTTTCATTAAAAAAATATAAAAATAACAAACAAAAATGGAAAGAAAGAGAAAAAGATTAATTAATTATTTTTATTTTATTATATTATTTGTTGAACATTACAAATTTTGTTTCTCTTTCTCTTCGTTTTATTTAATTGGCTTACTTTATTTAATTACTTTCTTTTTATTATTTACAAAAAAGATCGATAACAAACAAAAAAAATATGACAATCAAAAAACATACTCCCTCCGTCCCATTTTATAACGCCTGTTTCGGTTTACGATGTTTGACTGAAGTTATTTTCAAATCATTTTATATGACAAATGGTATAGAGTTAAAAAATAAAAATTACATATTAAAATACTACATCAAAAGATCTACAAAACTAGTAGTGACAACAATATCTTATTTTATCAAATTACTAACGAAAATAAAGAAAGAAAGTGAATGAAGTTTGACCTTGTGAATAGTGAACATGCATTATAATTTGGGACGGAAGGAGTAATAAATATCATTTTGGAATTGAAACGATCAATAAAACAACACCCATTAATTAATAAATTCAAATAACTGAACTAAGAATAAGAGAACAGGCCAAAAAATGAGCCTAAATTTCAAATAATTTCTTACTTCATTTTATGAAAAACTAAATATATAAAAATAACCAACAAAAAATAGAAAGAAAACAAAAAATATATGAGAAAATAACATAAAAAAATAAAAAAGCAAAGCAAACAAAAAAAGATCGTTATTTACAAAAAAAAATATAAAAAAACTTACAGAAAAATTCACAAAATAAACAGAGCCAAACAAATTGATAATATTAAAATATCAAGAAAAAAGATAAGAAAGATCAGAAATAAAAAACGAACAAATAAGCTCAAAAAAATATGAAACAAAATATGGTACGTAGTACTATATGTCTTATTTTTTGTTTATTTTTTAAATTTTCTCGTCTTATGTTTTTCATTATTTACTTGTTTATTTATTTAGGGCTTATTTTATTCACTTGTTTACAATAAATATTAATAAATAGACAAAAACCGTTAACAAACAAAAAAACTTAAATAAAACAAACAAAAAATAAGACATAGTTTGATTTTTTTGTTTAATTAAATTGATTAAATATAAAATAACATAATTATTAAAAGAATAGTTAAAAGATAAAGGATAAAATAACAAATTAAAACAGATAAATAAAGGAAAAAATAAAGAAAAACAAAAAAGAAAAGAAAACAAAGAAAAAGCGCAAGAAATGAGAAAATGTGGAAAAGGACTAAATAATAAATAAATATTTCAAAAAAGCAACTAAATAGAAAATAGCAAAAAGATTCAAAGAGAGAAAATTAAAAGAAATATTGCACTAAATAGCACTAAAAATAAAAAAGGGGTCAGAATGAAGAAAATTAAAATAAAAAGGAATAAAAGAGAAGATATAGAGTATTGATTGTGAACGTACGTTATGTTGTTTTTACGGAATAAAGTTTAACAAAAAAATAAATCTATTAAGGCATCAAATCTCATAATCTTGTAATAATCTCGTAATAATAAAAGCATTTAACGTTGACAACCCCTATAAATGCGTACTTGAGATAGAAGCAAAACAAGTGTCAAAAAAATCATTCATATTCTAGCCATCAAAATAGTTATATATTATTATGGATAAATATATATTATTCTTGTGTTTCTTTGTTTTTGCAAACATGGCTTGTGCCAAGCCATCATGTGCCCCAAATTTGAAGAGGACAAAAGTACGCATCCTTAGCCATCTCCCACCTCAGTCCGATGCCCTAAGTGTGCATTGTCACTCCAATGAAGGTGACGACCGTGGGAATATCACACTCACACCAAACCAACAATTCAATATGGACTTTTGTGCCGATCCCTCTTCCACCACCTACTACTGCTACTTTGTGTGGGGCAAGAAGACCATGAACCTCATGACCTTCAGTGCGGGTTGGGGTCTTACAGACAACGAATGCTACAAGACGTGCTTTTGGATAGTTACTGATGTTGAATTTGATTTCACGGGTTTGAACAAAAGAGTAATAGAATCCATCTCGTGGTAATTAATTAATTAATTAATTAATTATTGTATTTATTCATCGTTCGTTGGGAATTGGTTAGTTCAGTTCGCGAATAATGTTACGTCGCTACATTATATTTTTTTGGTGGATGAGAGTTATAACGTTATAAATAGGATGAACGTATTGGATCAAATAAAGTTGTAATGTTCTTCCATTTTGTTGTGTTATTCGATCTCCCAGAATTATATTGTTACCACAATTATATCTTTTTATATATGTCGTTCTATAACGAAACTAAATACAAAAGGAAAGAAATACGAAAAGAAACCGACATATATTGGAAAACTACCATAATAATAATAATAATATATACTAAAATAGTTTTTCCTTAACAAAACTTTCATTAGTATTTCAACTTTGACAGAATATGCATCCAAAACTTTCAAAATAAAAATTTCAATTTCAATTCTTTTCTCGAATTATAATCGCTTTTGTCAAAGTTCCTTTGAGTTTTGTAAAGCCGATAGATCATAACTTGCCGTTCAAAGAATTTGAAAGGGAAAAGAAAGGAAAATGAGACGGAAATAATTTTACTTGTCTGGTTAGAAAGGAAAAAGAAAATTAAATAAAGATAGAAAAAGAGGAGAGAATTTTTTTTCTTTTCCTACCAAATTTCTTGAGCCAAACATAGTGTTAAAAACCTAAGAGAATAGATGCACAATACTCTCTCTGGTCCTAAAAACCTTTCTTGTTTTAACTTTTTTGCCAAACAGTGACACTTTGACCACAGATTGTGTGAAAAACATATATATTTAATAATAATATTAATTAAATATAATTGGGTTCATCATAGCACATAGTTTTTATATATCCAACTTTTATATCATACATTTATTTAGATTATGTTTAATCTGTGATCAAAGAGTGTCACTATTTAATCCAAAAAAAAGTCAAAACATCAAACATTTAAATAAGAACTATGTGCTATCCCTTAATTATAAAGTTCAGATTCGATTAAATAAGAACTCCTGGCAAACAAAGGCAGTGCTAGGTTATATATATTGTACATACATTCTCTCCTAACTTTGGGACAAGCGTTGAAGTGCAATCAACTTTGCACACCAAGCATTTTTGTAAGATATAGAAACCCTAAACAAGTCCTACACATCTCTAATTAATAATGATGAGCTTCACCTTGTAATTGTCATCTTCTTTGATTTTTGGAAAAAATAATTCTAGCAATAATGTCACTTGTGAGTAACATTTCGTCACTCGGCTCCTTCCAGTATGATGTGGTCTACATTGGTGATGCCTCTGGTTTCAATCATCCATACACTTCGGACTTGTACTTGGGCAACTTCCCGTTAATAGCTTGCACGAAATCAAATCTGTCTTTTCCGATAGCGTACATTAAGAATGCCTTGTTTGGGGGAGAAGAGTATATGTTAAATATATTATTTCTATATTTAATATTATTGTATATTGGTAACTACCATATTTGTATAGGGTGTATTAATTATAGTTTCCTATTGTCATTAGGAAACCTTTGTATATATACACACATGTAATCTCCCATAATATTCATTGGAAATTATTCATTCTACATGGTATCAGAGCCACCACCGGCGATCCAGCACCAGATCCCTCTCTCTATCGGTCTATTGTGGGAGCCCTGCAGTACCTCACTTTCACCCGCCCGGATATTACCTACGCCGTCCAGCAGCTATGCCTCTTTCTTCATGATCCTCGGGTACCGCATGTTACAGCCATGAAGCGCGTTCTGCGCTACCTACACGGCACACCCACCCATGGCATTACCATCTCACCCTCTCAGACAGATCACATGCGGGCATATTCCAATGCTGATTGGGCTGGCTGTCCAGATACTCGCCGGTCGACATCCGGTTACTGCATTTTTCTTGGCGACAATCTCATCTCTTGGTCCTCTAAGCGCCAGCTCACCACCTCTCGGTCAAGTGCTGAAGCAGAATATCGAGCCGTTGCCAATGCAGTCGCTGAAGTCAGTTGGGTACGCAATCTTCTCCTAGAACTCCGGCAACCTCTGACCCGCTCTACACTGGTCTTTTGTGACAACATCAGTGCCGTATATCTCTCCGCCAATCCTGTCAAGCATCAACGTACGAAGCATATTGAGGTTGACATCCACTTTGTACGCGACAGAGTAGCCCTTGGTCAGATAAGGGTCCTTCATGTACCTTCTTCCCTACAGTATGCAGACATATTCACCAAGGGACTACCCTCCATGGTCTTCTCCGAGTTTCGAGATTGTTTGGGCGTACGGCGATCTTCATTAGTGCCGTTGGGAGCATGTTAAATATATTATTTCTATATTTAATATTATTGTATATTGGTAGCTACCATATTTGTATATGGTGTATTAATTATAGTTTCCTATTGTCATTAGAAAACCTTTGTATATATACACACATGTAATCTCCCATAATATTCATTGGAAATTATTCATTCTACCGTATAGCACTTCATTATTTAGGATTTGTAACTGACCATTCTAATGAGCTAGCACAAGTACACTGCTACTTGAAGCCATTCTCAATGAATTTTTGTAGATGAAATGATGAGAGATGTTTTTTTTTTCTTTGTGTGTGAAATCTTTTAGTCTATGGCTAGGGTTCTTCAAGTAGTGAAGTGTATTGATTATATACTCCGAAGAACTTAAGAGAGTTGAGTGAGTTAAGTGGGTAGGTGAGTGCATTAATTATCTGTACACCTCTCTCTATATTTTTTTAAGTGTCTAGTTAGTATTTCGAATTAATACCCCTCTCTATCCCAAAATGTAAGTAGCATTTCTTTCGAGGAATAGCACTAAAAGATAATGACTTTCCCTAAATAGCACCATATGTGTTTTTCTTCCCAATGTAGCACTTTTAGTCATTATGCATTAATCATTATTTAAGCAAATATTCGTCATCACTAGACATTATGAACATTATTAAGTGCAATTTAGGGAATAAAACAATTTAAGTACTATTTAGGGAAATGACTTAACTTTTAATGCTATTTAGTGCAAATATTTCTTTCAAATAACGTGTAAAATATTATCTCTTTTAAAATCATTTTATTTATAAATAGGTAAAGAAATAAAAGGTTAAAACTACACCGTTCACAAATAGATCAAAAGTTCTACAAATAATATGCGACAATAATATTTTATTTTTTTAAATGGTCAACCAAAACGAATAAACACAAGTTATCGATAGGCCGAAATAATAACAGTTGCTTACGTTTTGGGACGTAGGGAGTATTTGACTAACAGTTAAAATATGTTAACAAAAAATAATTAAAAATCATACACTAAACGCACTTGGTCAACTCCCCATACTCAAAATTGATAAAGGAATAAAAATTACAACTTACGGAGTATATATTTTTTTTCAAAAAAAAAACATCAAATATTCAAATGTACCACTTCCTATTTTAATTTAAACAAGCTAGTTCAAATGTAGCACAGCTGTCCCCACCTGTCCCATGCATATCCCATTGTTAGAGCATCTACAACGCTTGTTGTATATTTTGGTAGTGTAAAAGTAATTTTACACTATCAAGAGTGTTTTACACATCCACTTTTTTATATTCTCTCCAACCATATCTTCTAAATAAAATACTTTTATAATATTTTATTATTATACTGTTATTTTACAACCTTTCATATCTACTCTCCTTATCCAAAAATTAATTCCAAATTCAATAGCAGACCTATTGCAGTAATTTATCTGAAAGAGGGTTTGAGGGCAGAGCAAATTGCAGCAGCTTTGGCTTCCAATTTTAGGGCAGAGCAAATTAAAGAGATGAATAAAATCAGAGGTAAATTAGAGCACAATTAACCTAAGAGAGAGGTTACAGAGTGCATCAGTTTTGACTTGAAAAGAAACTGAAGCAAATTGAGAGAGGGGTTGGGAGGAAGAAATAGAAGCAAAATGAGAGGAAGAGCCGAAGAGGGGGAAATGAAGAAAAAGAAAAGAGAATTGAAACAGTGACTACACTATCTACAGTGGAAGTGTAGAAATAGGAGTTGGAAATTGATTTTTGCACTATAGTGCTTTTTAGCATTAGGTATACACCATCCAATGAATAGTAAATTGGATATATATATATAAGGTATATTTAACCATATACACATTTGCGTTGGAGTTGCTCTTAATGTAGCGTGAAACTTCAATGTTGTGTTTGTGAGATGGCCTGGAGACCAAAGTTTATTCAATACATAGCAGCAACATATTGGGAGATTTTATGTTCATGATTCCTATTTCTGTTGAATCTACATTTATTTTTACTCATTTTTCATATAAATTAAAAATTAAAATAAACTCAGTCTATAATAGTCACTAGAGCTTTCATTATTTTTAAATCTTTTTTTCTTTTCTTTGTTTCTCTTTAAACGGATTTAGTTATCTAGGAAAAAAATTTAAAAAAAAAAATCATGTCGATATCTTGTTTAATACTCCATATAAGATACCCCTCCATCCTAATTTACAATGCATGTCTTAGTTTATAATGGTTGATTAAAGTATTTAATTTATATTTTTTGAAGATTGTGTTGGAATTATTAAAAAAATTACATATTTTAAGAATACATCAAAAAAATTTCAAAACAAGAAGTGATATGACGTACTATTCTTTGATATGACTATTCTTTTATCAAATAAATAATGAAAATAATTTTAAAAAAGAATAAAATTTAAGCCTCACATTATAAACAAACACTATAATATGGGATGGAGAGAGTTACAGCTTCCACCGTTTACGTCTTATTACTACATACCCTTTAATTTTTTCAACTTCCATTCTAAAAATTAAGATATTTTCATAAGAGAATACAGTTACAGATTATTTGCAAAGTAATAACAAAGACGAATACAAAGTACCAATCTTTTTTGTTAAAAAAGTACGTTGTGCAAAGATTTTTAAATCTATCAAAAGATAAAATAGGTTTAGATGTCATTTCAACACTACTATGTACTTCTACCGTCTCAATTTAAGTTAAGTGGTCACTGTTTGAAGTCAAAGTTTTACCACTTTCATCATCCATTTCCAATACTCATTTAATAAAATAATATAATCATGTTGAATCCTCTGTTATAGAACTTTAAATGTAATTTTTAAATATGCATGCTTTGTTTTTAAATTCCACACCTAGTTTTATATAAAATTAATTAAAAATAATTTCAATCAAATATCATAAACCAAAACAGTAATTTAACTTGAAACACAAGTGCATCTAAAGATAGCAAATAACGAATTCACGTTATAGTTCAATATGTAATTTTCCAGAAGTTATGATAAAAGTTTACTGCAGAGTAATATTGAAGAGAAACCAAATGAAAACCTTTATGAGAACTCATTTTCCGTAATTTTACCCTGCATTTTTTTTTAAAGTACAAAAAGGTAGAAATGTGGATTTAACATTCATGCTCATTTTATGAACCTTAATGCATTTGTAACATAAAGAAAGTGGGCTTTTTGCAAGAGAGAAATATCCACATGCAAACTCATAAAAAATGTGAGAAAATCCACATTTTAAATGTAGACCTTAAGACCATGGAAGCATCACTCTACCTATAATATTCTCACTCTATCCCTTTAAAAGGCAAATGAAATCAGAATGTGATCATTTTAAAGGAAATGATATATGGTTCAAATTGTTTTATCTTTCCTCCAAATGAATTAGGTGGAATTATCAAATGCTAACAGCATGCAAAAGGATACACCTAATTGCTATCCAAAACTGCAAATATCATTTCTCAAACATATAACCCAACTTACAACTAATTGAAAATACACTATTTTCTGGGGTGGTGTGAGGGGGAAAACTGTAAATGATGTTTGACAAAGAATGAAATTTGGCAACACACTATGGTACAATTCACAATTCCAAAGGCAAGCAGAAGGTATAGATAATACCTTGTTATAGCAAGAAGCAACGCGATAATGATCACTTCGGCTTTGGTTTGCTCTATATCTCTTTGGCGATGGGGCTCGTATAGGTTTGGGCAGAGCAAGTATAACGCCAAGTTCTTCTAATGAGCCAATGCGACACACTTTGATGTGCTCAGATGACCAAACATAGAAATAAACTTATGTGGGTCCCACTGGTCACAAATGGGACCCCGCACGGGTTTGGTTATAATACTCAACTACAAACTACAATGTTAATTGAGATTCCCAAAGCTAAAAAAATAGTATCAAAGTCATCTAGTGTCAGTAGTCAGGTGGAGGTCGTTTATTTGAACCCCTACTTAAAGGTGCAAACTGATTACTGGAATGGCGTGGGTGTTTATTATATCCTCCTCTACCCCTTGGGTTGCTCTGGTGGGGGCTGACCCCACCGCCTACCCACTGATCGTAAGGTTGATAGTTTGCATTGTTGTGGTATCCACTTCGATGAGCTGGTGGTGGTGCTATATGAGGTGGATGATGGAGGGGAGTTGGGTTCACATGTGTGGCATGTGAACGGTAAGGGTCAATGCCACCTGGCGGATTATACCCTCCTCCACGTCTATGATGATAATCCCTCTCATGATGAGGAACAAACCCCCTGTGGGGCCCTGCCAAATGATGAGGAGGATAGTATGGGTCTTCCAAAGGTGTTGAATTAGAATAGCTGGAACTAGGTCCAGCGCGGGTGTGTTCATGACCATTATTATATCTGTTTGATTGGTAGGAGGATTGCCGAGGTGGGCCATATACACCCGGGTAGGATGTAGGTGGTGGTAGTGCATATCTATGATCACCATACTCACCCCTACCCCTGCCACCTTTTGTCTGTAAACTATTAGATACAAGCCGATGTGCAGCATCTCCAAGTTGTCGATCACGTATAGCTCCCGGGATATTGTGTCTGCAAAATGGAAATTATAATATACATAATAAGCAACAAATATTGCATCACAGAGGCGATTTCTCCTCCAAGAAGAAATGTCTCACATTTAAAGATGATGGCAATCAAAACCCATTGAGATGCAATTGTTACCTTCCATTATCATAATGTTTTCTTCCTGAATCCTCGTGCCAAAGTACAGGATCCGGTTTCATGTCACCAAATCCCACAGTCTGCAAACATATGGATCACACAAAGATCACAATGATGTTTCAACTATACTTCCCAATAGATATATACAGTGTACATACTACATTATTAAATGAACCGAGCGTCTGTCTAAATACAGATCTAGCTGAAGATGGAATATTGCACTCCCTCTGGTCCCTTTTATAAGTGTATCTCAATAAGGGTTGATCCAATTTATAGCGGATTTTGAATGCGGAGTAGGTTTCTTCCCAAAATACCCTCTGCTTCTTTACTAATTTCTTGGGACAACTTGGTTCGTCTTTTCTGAGGGATTGATAAACACATGCGAACTGTTACTCCTGTTGTCCCTTTTTTATATTCCATCTTTCTTTTTTAGGTTCTATTTCTTTTTTAGGAAAGAATTGTGTGGATTATTGTGGTTCAGAAAATTTCACTCATCTGCATTAATCTCATCCCACAATTTCACTTTCATAGACTTCATGCAAAAAGCAAACCAGGACATTAAATAGGGAGAAAGGGGGCATCTTTTAAGAATTGTGTTGGTATTCGAGTAGGTAAAAATCCCATATAAATAGAACCGAGGGAGTAGCATTTAATATGGATGCCACAAACTATCTAATTTCTAAGGTTTTTGAGAGAATAAATGTTTCTAAAACACGCTAATAGACAGTCAACAGAAACAAAAGCAAAAATACCCTTAGATTCATAGAGCATTAAAGGGTCTATTTGGATAAAGGGATTTGGAGAAGCCTTGGGAGGCATAATTTGTATCTTGATGAATAGAATGTTTTATAAAATTAATAAAGTTAATTAAAATGTTACAAAGTATACGACTACATATTGTGTAAAACTTTCAACTTTTTTAAAATCTCCTATATATATCAAAAGATAGACTGGGCGCTCCAAAGCCTTCCCCTCCAAAATCATCCATCCAAACAGACCATTAATGGCAATTAACAAGAATCATGTTCAACTTATTATTATCATAATAAATACCTTTTTGGGGATAACAACCCCACTTGGAGGTCGAGTAATGTGTTCATGAGAATCTGGAAGTCTGTATATTGCACATCTGAAAGCATAAAATGGAAAGGTAAAATAACAAACTCAGATATCTTGCCTACTTAGGCAAATTGTGTCTTTTGAACCAAAGTAATTTTAAGACAAACTTCTTACATGACTTGGTTATCCATAATATCTTCCATGCCTTGAAGAGGTGATCTGAAAATTGTAGGGCAAGGATCTCCCGAACAAAGGGATAAAAAACCGTTCATCCCACCACTGACAATCAATCAGAGTAGAAACAAAGAAATGCTAACTCAATTCACGGTTCCAGGAAACAAAGACAAGTAGAGAAATGTATGTGCCTTCGAGAAGAATAGATATAATTTATGTGCGTTCAAAAACTAACTGTAAATATAAAGAATAGATAAAGGAACTGAGGATTTTAATTTAACAACAAATATGGCAACATAAACCTTGCTCCTGGGTCAATTATCTCCTTTGCTTCCACCTTTTCCTGGTCTGTTAACTGTTTGCAGCGATTGTCAAGAGAAAAAATGTATGGAGATAGGGGATGAGATAACGATATGAATATCATATCAAACATCACACTGTTTCTTCGTGCTTCTTCATCCTGCACCAGTGTGTTTAACTTACACTCATAAATCCATTAAAGTAAAATTTATGTGCCTTCGAGAAGTAAGAAGGATACAAAGCTTACCGTCAATGTATTCTCAACTTTTGCAACTTCTGCAAGGAGCCGGGTTTCATCAATGAATGGTAGTTTTGCAATGCCCTACACGTTAAAAAAATTTTATTTGAGTTAATGAAACATTAATCATGCTTCATAATTTGCATTTTGTAAGTTCAGTATACAATATCAACCTTGAAATGATTTGACCCAAAAAATATCATAATGATGACTAAAGGAAAAAAAATTCAACTCATCACCAAGACACCGTTTCATGATATATTCGATGCAAGTAGAAGTAACCAATGATAGGTGTCAGTTTAGAATTTTGTCACATTATTTATTTGCATGGAGGCTGCATTTGGAAAGGCATACAACAACAAAGTTGTATCCCTACTCCCTAGTAACTTGGGGTTGGCTCATGAACCAAGAGAATCATGTTCCGTCACTCACAAAAGTGCTCTTTCGCCATTTCTTTTTATCTATAACTCCTCTTGAATCTTGACCAAATTCAGAAAAGACTACAGATCATTCATCCCCTCCCGCATTTTTTGGATCTCTTTCCTCTCCAAAATTTGTTTCTCCACCCCTCAAGAGTTTTAACTAGTGCATCACAAAGCCTTCTCTGTATGGGTCAAACCACCTCAACCGATTCTCTCTAAATTGATCTTCAATGGATGTCAACACATGACACACCCTTCCTAACACACGCATTTAGTAACCTTCATTTTCATAATATGACAACCTTTAGTATCCTGACATTGTACACCATATAATGTTGCTGGCCAAATTGTCATTTGGTAAAACTTCTCCTTCCATTTCAGAGGTATATCACAACCACAAAGAACTCAAGTTGCACTCACACACAAAGAACAAAGCTGAGGAAGAAGAAGAGAAACCCTAATTGGAAGACGCAAGTCATGAGGCTGATGCTTTACAAAGTTTGACTGGTCCTGTTTATATTTATCAACTATTTCTAAAAAATTTAAAAACAAAATTAAGGCTGAAGACTTACGTCGCCTCATGACTCACGCACCAGGACATTCGCCATCACTTCCATATGCATAATTTCCAGGAGACCTAGTCATTGCTCCAAGCCTCAGGGCTTCAACTCTCGGAAAAAACTCAAGGCACGCCATAAGGTGCAAGACGGAGTGTATTATTGTTGAGAAGTATCAAAAAATGAGCAATTAATACTGTCGCTAGCATAGTTTGAAAGGCAAGAGTCGGGAGATCATAAGGTGAACATTTTAAATACTATATATAAATATATATATATACACACACACACACACATATCATTGTGTGTGTGCGTGTGTGTGTATATGTATATATAACGAAAGAAAGAATAAAAATATTAAATAGTATTGATAAAGTTTTTTAAGATATAGAATTTAGAAATAATTGATAATATAAATAAACAAGAATAAACAAAATCTGATAATAAAAAATAGTGTTATTTTCGATTTGAAAATTTAAATAAATGAAGAATGAACAGAGGCAAACAAAAAAATGAAAGAATATGACAAAAAGTATAAATACATACAAAAATAAAGAATGTAAACAAATTAACGAACAAAATATGTAGGAAAATATACTCCATAATAAATCAACTAAGAAATACACACTATGCAAAATAAAAAATACTCCGTAGATCTGATGTATACAAGTCCTGAATCCGCATGTCTCAATAATCACTAATCGCTAGAGTTAGTCAGTAAGTCCTTATGTTTTAGCATCCTTTTTAAAACAAAAATTCGGCCCAGTGAGTTGCATGGGATGGGCAACACGACATAGTTGCACGTCTCAGACGAAGGAATAAGGCATAAGTGACTTAGTGGCGCACACCCGGCTCAAGGATGTTGCATCCCCTGGGTTAAGTCAGGCGGAAACATGTCGCCTCAGTGCCTCAGGCCAGGAAGAGCGCCTTTCATAACTATGGTCACTAGTGATATATGGAAGCAGCACTTGGGTGATAACACTTTTTTCCTACAAAGCGACACTTAATAAAGAATAGCATAAGTGTTTCACTTTCATCTAGCCAACCCCAACTAACTGGGATTAAAATGTTTCTGATAATATAATGATGTAACAGTATTTTTAACCAATACCTGCCATGAATACCGCTTGCCGTTCATGTCCACCTCAAAATCTGACAAATATACAAACCATATTGAAAAGTGAAGACAAATATATGGCATTGAAATAGTGATTGCATCAAAAAAATACCAGTGGGATAAAAATCAATGATAGGCGAGTTTGGGTCTGTCATCAATTTCCGGTACTGCTCAGGAAGCGCATGTGAACTGCAAATAAGCCAAATAGAACCTTTAAGAACTTCATGTCTCAGAAAAGATTAACGTAAAAGGTAGCAATACAAACCTTGCTGCAGGGAATACACCCAGCAGTTGGTTGAATGGTTTAAATGGTGATCCTAATGTAAAGCTGATACTCAATCCTTCGAGATCCTTTAAGTCTGAAGCGAAAGGTGCATAATGATAAGGATAAAACCTATAAGGAAAGAAGCTCATGTGATCAAGAAGTACAATGGTAATTGGTTCAAAATTTACTCAAAGATTTATATTTGTAGACCAAGTGTTTTTTTGGAGAGCTGTGGAGAAATGTGGTTTGGGCAATCACAGTTTTGAGTCCCCAAACGTGCTGAGAAATAAGTGGAACACAGTTTGGGATTATCCTGCTCCCAAACGCATAATGTTGCAGTAACGCTACACAGTTCATCTACTACTAAAATGTACATGCACATGAACATGTGCTAGTACTTATGTATATGTATGTGTGTTACAATGTGATCTGTTAAAATGTGATCTAATATAAAACAATTAACAGAGTTCTATTGAGTGTTTGAAATTTTTTATACTTTCAAGAAATACAGAGTTCATGTTTATTGAAAAGGTAAAAGCATGTTTAAACTTACATGCATCAAACTTGTTGAAATCTATTTCTTTCCTTTATGTGAAACTGTATAAATATAACGAAAAATTACAAAATGTGTTTCACACCAAGGGTTCCAAGACTTAAGCCTTGGCCGTTCTGTCTTGCCATGCCTTTTAGAGCATTGTGTGTGTGTGCACGTGTGTGTGAAGAGGACAAGTCAACAATTCTAAACACTAAATAGAACATGTTACCACTGCCACGAACAAACTCCTTCATAATAATAGTGCATAACCCAGCACAAGCCTTCTGTGTATTTCAAAACCTACAAGAAAACCCGAACCTACATTTAGTTCATTATCCCCCCTATTTCAATCGGTGTTCACCTCTTGATAGTTTTTTGACAAAATGCTGATGATATCTAATAGAAAAGTTACCACATAACAGACGTCTTACACTCATACTCAAGTACAGATCCTTTAAGAAAGCAAGAGCACATACTACGCATGAAGTATCACAAAAAAATTTGAACTATCCTAGCCTAAAACAAATTAGCAGGCAATGCATTCATCTGAAAGTGTTTAACAGTAATGCTAGGGAGTTCAAGATACTTACAACGTCATTTCGTATCTGATCCATTTCTTCAGGTGTTTTTGCAGAGAACTTTTCATCATAATACCTCTCTTTCCAACCAGGCTCTCCTAGCTTGACCTAAAAAACATCAGAAAATAATTACTCTTAATGCAGTAACAGAGTGCTGACTGCTGAGCACATAGCAGACGGCAACATTTTGGCATAGTGTTGTTGCACACAACAATTAATGACCATGTTAACGATAACAACAAAGATAAAAACCATGGTTATGTTGATGATAATAAAGGAAATAGAGTATACTGATGGTGTGTCAATAGATGTAGAGCCAACTAAGCATCCATTGAATCTGGTTTTACTACTTGTATCAACTGATTCATTTCAGAAACATTAGCATAAAATGGTAAAAACATGATCTCATTCATACGCTCCTAATTAAAAATTAGTATGCTTGAGTATGAACTCGGAGGCATGTACAAAACAATGCAGTAATTGAGTGTATGATCAAGACCAGTAAAAGGACAGAATCATAAATAATTAAATACACAGCAAATGGCCAAGTATATTTTTTTCAATACCTTGTCTTCTTCAGGATTTTCTGAGTTGAAAACATCATTCTTTTCACGAAGTAGCTCTTTAAGCTTGGTTTTCAATTCTTCTTTGGCATCATCAGCCTGAGTTACAAAAAGGAAATGTAAGTCAAACATTGCAAATCAACCAAACAGAGGAAGCCTAATATTAATAGTAACTGCAACTTCAATCAAATAAGGAAACATTGTTATTTGTTAGGAATAGCCAAGTTATATAGCTTTTAACTAGTTAATCAATATTCAATAAGTATGCAAGACAAGACCTAAAGCATGGGAGGAGTAAGAATTACTTCAAACTGCCTCTCAAGAAGCAAGAACACATACTTCAGTTTCAAGACTACGCTCAGCTTCAACAATTGCAGCTCCTATTGTGGCTGCAGATGTTGAGCGTGCAACTTTTGTAGCATGATTACGGTTACGGCCTCCATGAGGATTAACAGATTGTTCGCTCTTGTTGTCACGTCGAAATTGATTAGGTCGTGCCCCATGTTGATGTGGAGAAGGTGTGGGGCCAGATGCAAGGCGAGAACCATGGAACCGAGCAACGGGAACCAATGATTCCGGTTCAGATTCGGGCACCGACTCATCTCGTCTTTTTTGGGTTTTTTCACGCTTGATTCTTTCAGATTGCCTCTAAAAAGAGTAAAGTTGAACGTACGTTAGGGAGGTATGGTGAGGAGAAGAAGACTTGAGATTAAACCAGTAGCAATCTTAATGAAAATAGCAAACAAAGCAAGAAGAATCACCAAAAATATTTTTAAAAAAATCAAGAATCAAACATCTCTCAAATGTCCATGTAAGATATCACTTAACAAGGCAAGTCCCTCTAGAGGGAATACAAGGATATAAACATAATAAACTAGCAAATGGCGCCTACTCAAAATTAATGGAAATAAGATGGAATTAAAATGTATAAAAAAAAAGTCAACAAAGAAGAATTGTACTGAAAACCTGATGCAAACGTGCTCTTTTTTGGAATATTTTATCTTCATATGACCCCACAGCCTGTATAAAATGCTCCACCCTGCCAAGGTTTGGCTAAAAGAAAAAAAAGCAGGGACATAATTTGAGACAAATAAAAATTAGTGAGGCAAAACTTATTGTGTTTTCAATACAAATTGAATACCTTGCTGGCATCAGTCAAATATCCTCCCAGAGACTTGAACTCCTTTTTGTAAACACACATCAGCAAGTTTATTGCACCCTGAGCACATGTAAACAAATAGGTAGAAGAATGTTATATACTTATATATCATCTACATTGGAATTCTATTTAAGAGGATTAAGAAGGTATTTATGTGTCCATGGTAGCAATGATTACTTACAAGTACCACCTACCATCTGAAGCTCACTGAACTACTAATTTACTAATGCATTTAGATCATAAAAAAGTTGTAGTGGTTGAACAAAGAAACACACCAACGACGTATGAATACAAACCATGATAATGCGAATAAACAAACCTCACGAATTTCAAGTGTGGGCATATGTGGCAGAAAATCATTCCCAACAAAGAAACACATGAATATAAAATCATCAACAATACGCTCAAAATCAATCTCAAAAGGAGGGTTCGGAATTCTGAATTCATACTCCAAGTACTCTCTCAGGGTCCAAATATTGAGAAACTGCAAGAGCAAATCGATTCATGAGTGAAATTAAAAGTAACTATTGCAAAAGGATGGTTTTAAGTATATTATAAAATATCAAAAATTTTAACAATTAACAAATAGAAACTCAGAGTAACCTAGCAGAAAATGAAAATAAAATATAAAAGAAAGGGATTCAAAATCAGAAAAATATTTAACCTGATAAGGCTTTTTCGCCACCACTTCTCCATCACCTTTTTCATCAAACTCCCCAGCTTTTCTCTTGGCTTTTCCTTCACAATCTGCTGCCCTGTGGCCCACTTGACCGCATAAAAAACATTTGTCTTGCTGACCAGGAGTGAATACAACCTAAGAAGGTGAAGCACATTTAAGTCAAACCATAGAGAGAAAATTTGAATGATTTATGGAAAACATGGGAAAAGACACTAATCAATATCTCGAAACCAGATGGGAGCATTTAGAATGTCTAGGATCTTCATGCACAAACCCAACCTCCATATGGATTAAGGATATACAATGGGGTATAAATTTTCAAAGTTGTATGCATAAATGCATTAAATATGTCCACAATTTTAATACTGTCTTTCGAATTGAAAAGAAAAAATTCTAACCTCTCTAAGTATTGCAAAGTGAACTTCATGAGTGGCCAACGCCAACATGATTAGATCGGCATCCTATCAATAGCAAATAGATATATCTCTTAGAATATTAGAAAGCCCGGCAGTTGGGAAATGACTGTTCCAACCACATGTTTGCAAGTAAATTGAAGCATAAAGCATACCAAGCCATACAGACAATGGTGTGTATTAGGGTCAAAACCCGGAAGGTTCCTTTGCAGACGAATGTAGGACATTATTTTGTGTTCCCCTTCACCAGGAATGTTGGCATCAGAGAGTATAACCTTGAGAAAAATATAGTAGCAACTATATCACTAAGAATAACCCACATAAAACTGCAACCAAAACCAGCAAAAAAAACAACCTTAATGTTTCTCCATCCAGGATCATGGTTTAGCCTGAGATGGATGTAGTACTGGAGGGCAATTGAAAGAGTATCCATGAATGGAGTTCCAGGAGTGATGACATTTGAATCAAAAGTCTGTGATTCCAGCTTGGGAGGGAGCTTTCTACCCTCCTTCTCGAATTCCTCACGCAGCCTTTCCTCTTCAGCTGCCTACAAACATGACTTTCAGAATATAGAAACTAAAATAATTGAACTTTTTTTTTATTTTCACTTCCACTTTATGGATCATTTTTATGATGCATACCGCATCGGCTGCATCTTTTGCTGCTCTAAAACGCCTAGACCTTTGCTGATTCATTTTTGCTCTTGGAGCAACACCATCTACAGATATATGGCGTCAGTAATGACTACAGCGTGCTGCATGAAATAAAAATATACAATTGTGGAAAAAACTGTTTCATCCCCAGTACATACCAATAGCCATGTACAATAGCTTTCGAGGGCGCACCATTACAAAGAGCCGATCTATATAATCAAACATGCCCCGAAATACCTCCTCAAAAGTAGTGGGGGACGGCTGCACACCAAAAAAAAATTTTTTTACATGACAAGCGTATGAAACCATGTGTTCTGTGCAGACTGCAGTTACATTAAAACAATTGATACTTGAACTTAAAAATTTATTAGAAACAACATGATAGACACTTGAATATCATTCATATAAGAACGGTAATAACCTTCTACCAAGTAATATCATATTCCAAGTCCACAAAAATCTCACTTCAACTTCAAGAACCAAATCACGCTCAAAACTAATTACTCAAACTTAAAACACAAAAAAGGTCAACAAAAAGCTAATAAGCATACTCAGCTACGAGCAAGCCGGACTAGTTAACACAAGCACCGAGCTAGAAAGATACGTACTCGATCTTCTGGGTGGAAACATGGATGGATAATGCCATTCATATCAAGATAAAGGTTATCGAATTCTATATTGTTAGGGTTCGGCTTGCTGGTATCCACCGGAATTTTGACATCTTCAATCACCACCGGCTCTTCCTCGATCACATCCACCACCACCAGGGAATACTTCTCAGCTAGCCACCGGTAAAACGCCGGAACACCCATCGCAGAATTCTGAACGAACCCCGCCAAATATCCCTAAGAACTCAAATCAACGCGTATGTTAGTGTTCAGTATAGCCATTATTGATGAACAATGGATGGAAACCAGAACTGGGGAACCTGAGATGCAAAGAATATGCGGAAAAATCATACGGCCTCTGGTTAGGGCACGGGATTCAATAGTGGGACTATCCTACGCGGCGTGGAAGTGTGGAACGACTCGGCCCAAATGTATGAATACCGGTCCGGTCCAAAACTTTGCACTCCACTTCTCGAATTTATTACTCCGTATTTCGTATGATTTAGCATTAACGTTTTAAAAATGTTATCTAACGGTAGTTTTTAGCATTAGAATTTTTAAAATTTATTTATACCATTAAATTTTTATATAAAATATTAACACTAATCAAGAAATATGTTCTCAAACAAGACCTAATACAAGTATAGTTTGTTAAGATTTAGATGGATTTTAAAATCTAAAAAAGAAAATATAAGTTAGGAATCCAAAATGAAAATATTTGAAAAAATCTAAAATAAATGACAGATGGCGAGCGGCTAGAAATGGGTGGCCGGTGGGGGTTTTGTCGAAGGCAGTGGGGATCGTTTGTGGAGATACCAAAACGCTCTCATTGGGAGGTTATGTCATTGATAGATACCAAATCTAAACTATTTTTCAAAGGTGTTTCATTCGTTTGTTCTAATTGGTTCTGATATACTCCGTAGTTTTACTAAAATCTGTTTAGGTCTCGTCTAATCTGAACTGACCTGATTCTAATTAAGTTTAAAGTTGTTTCTAATCTAATATGGTTTGATCTGATTTTAATAAAATAAGTAGTAACAGTTTTGGAGTTATTGTAGAATTTTAGCTTTTTGCGCTCAACTAAAATCACCTTTTGTCATTTTTTACTACAAAAATCAAAGTTGGACAGCTCTACGGGGATAGAGGTAGTACTGCCTTTGTTCAGTGTCTATGTCATAAAGTCATACTGGACAAACTTTGTTCATCAATTAAATCAAAAGTACGAAGTATATTACGGAGTATGTATTAGTGCAAAAATAATTTTAGTAGATTTATCTTGTCAAAAATCTTTACATTATGTTTTGTACGAGTGCAAGGAGCTGCGGAGAAAGAAAGAAGAAAAGAAAATAATTTTCTCACCAAAATGCATAAATTTTGCTTCATTCCTCTAACTTGATTTTGCCTTTTTTTTCTTTCTACTTTTCTTTTTCTTGTTCTCTCTAACCAAAAATGAAAAAAAATTCCCTCTCATATCTCATGCACTCATTAAATTTATTTGGAAAATCCAGAAAACAAAGTGACAAATTTATTTTGTGTAGTGATAGGCACACCAGCTAAAATATTATATACACCTCATCAATTAAATAGACCACAAAATGATGCTAATGAAGAGAATAAAGAAGATTTTGGTGATAATGAAATTGAAATGGAAGACTGTATTGTTTACTAATTTTATTTTTCAATAATCTTTAGATTTTAGATAATGTCTTCTTTTGTGTTGTCTTTATATTTTCATTGATGAGTTTTGCCATACAAGAAGAATACTTGAGAGATAATAACGGTTTTATTTGAAAAAACATATTTATTGCTCAAGACAATGAACACTATACAGAGTATTATTTTATTCTAATAAATATATTACAATGATGATTATTTTTTAAAAAAATAAATTATTTTATTATGTTATTTTTAATTTTTCAATTGATTTCATAAACAAATTTCTGCTCTAATTTCATAAAGTTTCAAAAAATTGTTTGAAAAGGTTGAAAACCAAAAAGAAAGTATGGTGAGATTTTGTTTTAAAAAAGAGGCAAAATGTTATGAGACACATTCTATTCTTTTTAAGTGTAAACTTCGTAGCATGACAAATGAAGTAATTCATTCCCTTTATCATTCAATTAGACAAGATGTTAGAATCTGACAATAAGGCTCCGTTTGGTACACAAAAATATGTATATCTGGAATTGGCAGTGCCAAAAATAAATTGGAATTGGAGAATTCAAGTCCATCCAAATCAATTTCATAGAATTTTAAGTTTTTAACTTTCAATTCAATTCCAATTCCGTCAATTCCGTGAACCAAACAGATCCTAATAGTTACCTCAAGGCTCAAGTCCACTCATCCTATCCGTGTTTGTCATTTCTGGCTTTTAACAATTTGTCAATCTTAATGACATTTCGATCTAAAATAGTTTTTATTAATTTCATATTATGTATTTAGAGAATGCCTAATAATGAAAAAAAATCATCCATTCTTGACTAATGAGTCTAAAAGTATAAAAACTGCACCTCATTTAAATATACTCAATCTGGAACAAACTCTTCAAAGAGAATCCACACCCAAATGGAAGAATTTTTTAGAAACAGAATGTTTAGGTTCAAAATGTGCAAACACACTTACCCTAAGGAGATGAGAGGACTGTGGTGTGCTTAACTTCTCATTGCCTGCGCGGATTGAGACGTGGCTATCATTTGAGCCATGATACAAGCATACTGAACGGCTGTGTGTTGAGAGGAGTACTGGTCTGCAAGGCCGAACTCTGTGAAGTTCGGTTCAATGTGCATAAAATGGCCCGGCAATGATCTCTTGGAGACAGCCTCCTTCCAGATATCAAAGAACTCGCCCATGATCGCGTGTGATGTTTCCCATGAAGAAATGGGGAGGTACTCCATCTGTAACAAAGCAAAACATTACGCGCTCTAGTGATCTTCCAGCAAATAAAAATCGTTTGTTTTCTACTGATATCCCATAAATGTAGATATATTGCTGAACTAGTACAACAACGAGCCCAAAAAACCCACAAAAGTAGGGTTTGGGGAGGGTGTGTAGGCAGACTTTACCCCTACTTAGGAAGTAGAGAGGTTGTTTGCTTGTTTTCAAGAAACCCGCAGCTCAAAACACAGAAGCACAAACAAAGTAAGCACGGTATCACGAACAATGTAAGAGCAACAACTAAACGTAGCATATATTGGCATACTGCTGACCTAGTAAACCTTAAAATGAATATAGCAAGCTAGTAAACACGGTTTCAGAATAAATGGAGTTTTTTTTATCTTCTCTTTTTCTTTGGTTTAAGAATAAATGGAGTGGGATGTTAATGGGTGGAATGGTGGATGCTCCAAATCCTTCATTCCCCTCAAAGTTGGGATCAAATGGAACGAGGAGAGAATAAGAGATGGCAATCTACCTACATTTCCTTTGTGATCGAAACATGAAAGAACTCAGTGAAGCATAATTTATAACCCCCTCCCTTCCTTTTCTTTTTCCTGAACTTCACTCCAAAGTCCAAAGAGAGTTTGATTGCTTCCCCTACTCTCTTATATTATAATAATAATAATAATGATAATAATAATAATAATAATCCTCTGTTTTCCTCTATTTACTAAGATCCCTCCCTCTCAATCCAAACACGCTCATAAAAATAAAGATGGTATTCTTCATAAAATTTCCCCTCAAACCGCTTCGGCGCTTCAATTAAGAATTATTGGAGTAGTACATATTACTTCACTTTCATCTTCATTCATCTTTTCCACTTTAGGATTACATTATTACCTTCATTTTAATCTTGGATAACACAAGAATTGGACTCCAAAAAAGGAAGTCTTGTTTCACCGAGGATGCTCAAAAGTCTAAACTGTTCTCTTTGCTCCCACTAATAAAAATGTTAAATGGAACAGACACCAGCTCCTTTGCAGAACTTCTACTGCCTTGAGTCATACCTCATAAGCACTTGAACAAATCAAGCTAGTATATAATAAGTTAATAAGTACATCGGCTTTTCAGTTACTGTTTTAGTTATCACTTTTCAGCATTAGGCAACACGTGTATTTGAAATTTTCATATTTCTGACTTAAAGAAAATATGAGACAAATACACATCACAGCATAAGAGTATTTCCTTGTATTTTTCTCTTGAAATATGGAAAGATAAAGAAAATAGTTCAAAAAGTTATAGTTCCAAACTTGCTTGAATTTATCTCCCTAAAATGATAAGGTCGACGTTTGAATCAATGGTCAATGGATTTAAATAAAACCCAAAAAGCATTAACAAGAAAAGCAGATAGTTATTACCTCCATCACTATTCCTCTCAATGTTTCAGTGTGAACTGGGAGAACTTTTCCCACTCGCAGCCGGAAGTCACCTAGTTGGTATTGAAGCCCCTGAATAGGTAGAGATACAATAGTGCAATTATAAGATACACCCACATTGCATATAATTGTCATAAAAAATGCATTGGGAGTGGTGTGTCATTGGGTATCATGTGTATGTGTGAGAGATGCAAAGCAATGCTTGGAAATTTCATTTGCCATAGTTTATGCTTGTAGTTTGATAAGTTACCCAAAGAGGATAATGCAGTCTCATGCTTCCTGAAAAAGTAATAAAAGCAAAAGTATGTAATAATCTAGATACAAGGCCTACACCATTTGCTCCATGGTGAATCCTCTGCTCCTAATAAATATATGATGTGTGTGTGTCACACGCACACACACAATCACTAAACCAAACAAACCCAGTAAATGCCAATTAAGAGTAAGGTCTGGGAAGGGCAAGATGCTGCATCGATGAAAGTTGAGAGATTGTTTCCAAGGGGACCCCGACAGTCAATGGCGCACAGTGTGAGAATTGAAAAAAAGACTACAAAACACACACACATGATGTGGGTGTGGGTACTAAAAAAATATGTGGTGTAAAATTATATCAACATTTTGCAACTAAACGGGAAACTTGGAGCTCATAATTTGCACATCCCATTTTACCTCGAAGTTGAGCGCAACTCTAGTCTTATACGACTGGAGCTTCTCCATTGTGGTCTGAATTGATGATTCTGCTTCCATAATTAGGCGCTGCCCTCTAAGCACAAAGTAATACTTGTCAGGCTGCTCGTGAAGTGAAATCCCCAAAAAGTCACGTGGAAACTCATTGGCATTAGCTTGGTCTGGCAGGAAGAACCAGTAAAAACAACTATAGCACAAAAATTAATAGATTCATGATATAAATGCAGATGCATGATTCAGATAAAGAATAGCACAACTCAAATAAGCATGGAAAAAATATTTCTACGGCTACTACTAAGTAAAGACTAAAGATAATTTTATTTGCACGTATGATGGTTTCCTCTAATAATGTAACCACTGTAATTTCTCATACACGGTAAACCCATTTATCATCAATAAATTAATCTAGGAAAAAACTCCACATTCAACCAACTCTGCATTTTTCTGCTAAAAAGCTTCAAAAGCAAAAATGCCAGATTCTCTAATATGCATTCAAACTTTTTTCCCCTTCAAGAGTTGGGGTGTTGGATCAGTCAAAACATGAATCATTTTCCACCAAATGCCAGATTCTCTACTATGAATTCAATCTTTTTTTTTCTTACGAGATTTGGGGTGTTGGATCAGTCAAAACTTGAATCATTTCCCATCAAATACCAATTATCCTTCAATAAACACATACATGCAATCAATAATCACATTGTGTAAGAGTAACATACAGAACCAATACAGAGAAGTGAAGAAAAGGGCTAATTCTGTGATGAAAAGGTGGAAGGAAAAAATATGTGAACCTCTGAGTATAGGCTTGTAGAAGCTGAGAGTAGTTTTCCACCTTCCATCTTTGGCTCCATTGATGCTTTCAACACACTGTGAAACCTCACTCAGTATTTGGGTGTTAACTGTTGTGCCAGCATTTGGCTGCCAGTGCAAAACCCTATCGAAAAACAGGAAATCCCACATTCAGATAAGCACGCGTATACGAATCAGTGCTGGAATGCTTATACAGACGCATAGAGTACCCTTTTACAGAACTAAATCGAGCAGAAAACGATACCATTTGATCGGCATAGCTGGCTGGTACCAGAAAGCTTGAGCTTTGTTCTGTGAATTCGCCGCTCCTTTACTATTTGGAAGCCTCAAAAAGTCTTTAGAATTAAAACTGCCCTTGAAACAAGTACCCCTACCTATCGGATAATCGAACTATTCAACCCAAGGGAAAAAAAACTCCAAAAGACTCATGGATAGATTGATGATCAATTGGGTAGATGGAAAGGATATTTTTCTCCCCTGTTACTCCATTCATCCCATTTATTCATATTTATTTTTAAAAAAATACTAGTACGGGTATTAGAATTAGAAATACGTAATACACGGTAATAGTTTTGTTGGGTATAACTGTATAAGGTTAGACACGGTTCTAGGTAGAACTGGTATCGGTCCTATAACCTCCAACGATGGAGACATTGGAGCGGGTAGGAGAATCGGTGTACACGGGTCCAGTTCCGGGTCGGATGTTGGCGTGTTCGGAAGCGGTGGTTCTGGTTTGGTTTCGGTTCCAATTTAATTTTTTTTCCTTTTTTCCGGTCAAAATGCAATAATGATGATGAATATCGTTATTTTTATCACCATTTAATACAATAAACAAAAGAAAGAGATAATGTTATATTACTATTGATCTTTTTGAGCCCTTATTTAAAGAATTTCAAATTTTATACGGTACTCCACCAAAAAAAACAGTAGATCCTCGTGTTCCGAAGACAATAAAGGGTTTTAAAGGGACAGCCGGTGGTCTCTTGGTAAAAAAAAGTAAGCGTAGCTCTTCGTCGATGAGTACAACTGTTAGTTCGCACAACGAACTTGCAATGTACCAAGACGTCCCATGCAACTACGATGAAGACAACGATAGCGAGTTCGACGTTTTCGAATGGTGGAAGCGGAATGCATGAGCATAAGTTCCCGTCACTTAGAATACTAGCCAGACAAGTGTTATATATGTCGGTTTCAAATGTAGTTGTGAAACAAGCGTTCAGTTCTAGCGGCAACTTTTTAAGCGACTTTCGAAGTTGTCTTAGCGCTAAATAGTTTGAGACACTTGTGTGCGACCGAGGTTGGCTCTTGGCAATGTGTCACACACAAGAGTTAAACTACAACATTGATACACAAAATTAAATGGATGCAATCACAAAGGAAAATGGTAGTTCCGACAAATAACTTTGTAATTTTAAAAAATTGTAATTAGTTTTTTAGGTGAACGATTTATAAGATCCTTCGTAAGTTTCTTTACGGTTCTTTACTTCGTCGCTTTTTTTGAGCCGTCATGATATGAAATGTAGTTGTAATATTCAACTTTCATTATTTAAATAACAACTACACTTTTGAATTTATATAAAGTTATAAATTTGTTATACAATACATATCATATTATATTATTCATGTATTAAATTTAATAAAAAAAATCTGGAAACGAGAATCAGACCGAAAATGGAACCACGGTTCCGAAACCGGCGGAGGAATCGGCTATGACGGGTACGGTTACGGTGTCGTGGTGGGTGATGCCGGAACCGGGCCCACCCCTAGTTGGGTACATAAGTTTATTCTACTATTCAATGTCTCAATTTATAAAAGAACTTAATTTGTAGCTAAGTAAATCATTTATTTATGGGATTTCAAAATAAACATCATTAGTCTCGTGCTTTCTCAAAAACAATTGCGATATCCACTACATAAGAAAGCTAATGATTGAAAATTCATAACTATTATCAGTTTATCACTCATTTTCACGCACATGTTTCACTAACGAGTGATGGATGAATTGAGGGGTATTGGGTGATGTATATTACAAATGGTTAATGCATCGAGTGATGGGTATAAAACTAATGGATGAATGACTTGTTGTCATTGTATGGGCCATGGGTATGTATCACGCTGGGCGTACGAGAAGATGTCACGGGAACCTCCCTACGGGACTCGAGACAGAGGAGACGATGACGTTGTTCTACCTATTCCATTTTTTATCGCTTGTGTTTTTTAGTGAAACAGTTATATCTAAAAAAGTATTTAAACCCTCCCTCCCCAACTTTTTAGAAATGGGTACCAGAACCACCTTTCTGCTCATTGTTTTTCTTATTTCTTTTATTTTTTCATAAGTAATTTTTAAGTTTTTAAACACTTTTTTTATATTGTTTTTAAAATTCAAAATTTTGTGTGTTTGAAGTAAAAAATCAATGAAATAAAAAATTAACATATACTCCGTACTTCATTTGTCACAAATCAAACATTTTAATTTTTTGACCAAAAAGGTCGTTATTGATTCATTTTCATCAAACAAAAAAACAATAAACATTTTCTCTTTTCCTCTTCTTTCCCTCTTCTTTCTTTTATCTTAAGTTTTATTCTCACTTACTTCACACTTCTAGTGTGTCACTTTCATTACAGTAATTACATTTTTATTTTTTAATATTTACCTATTTATATTCATATCAAATTCTATCATTTAAAATAAAATTAAATTGTATTGTTTTTTTTTGTTTTTCTATTTCAGATATTTTGTTTTTTTATTTTATAATTAAAAAAATTATTTAGTGATGCCAATAGGAGCACTTTGTTCCCAAATCCCAAACTTTTCAATCTGTATTCCTATTTCCTAGACGCCAAAATTACTCGGAGAAACAACTCCGGGAAAGCCCTTCTTCCTGAGGCAGCAGCTCCGAACCCGATTTCATTCTTCCGAACCAGACACAGAAAAAGTTAGGGTTTTGTTTCGCCTGAAATCGCCATTGAATTCGAAGTGCTGGGAAAGAGGTAGCTCATATGGCGTGCGTATACATTCCAGTGCAGAACTCGGAGGAGGAGGTCCGAGTTGCCCTGGACCAGCTTCCAAGAGACGCTTCTGATATACTTGACATTCTTAAAGCCGAGCAAGCTCCTCTTGATCTCTGGCTAATTATCGCTGTAAGCCCAAAGTCTTTCAATCATGCACCTTTACAGAGGGCTTTGCTAAATGTTGAGTTGTTTCCATACACGTTTGAACATTCACATATCTAATTTACCGAATTTATTTTTCAATTGAGTATGCATTTATCTTTGGCTAATTACCGCTGCAAGTGTACTGTTTGAATCATTAAGACATCATACTGCTTGCTTTGCTGAATCTTGAGTTGTTTTTTTAGTACATGTATCTTTCACTTATCTAAACTACGCACTCCATAATATTTTTCTTAATTGTGGATGGAAGTTGATTTTTGCAATTTGACCAATTCTATTTATGTTGTATTTACTTGTATAAATATAGACGGAAGTGCGCATGAACATCCATTTAGGGACACCCGATACATTTGAACCGATATAAGAAGTAACATAAGTGCAATAGTTGCTAGAATTATATACTCGCACATATCAATTTTTTGTGTGTCCATGTCCTACGTCTACCTATACATGCGGTGAAGTTCATTTGAGTGCATGTGTGACATAATACAACAGTGACTCAAAAGCTAAATTTTTTATTTGGACATAAAAGTTTTATTCCACGTGCTCAGTCAATATATCATACTTGTAGATGAGTTAATAATTACTGTCCGTTTCCAATGGAGCTAAGAGAGTTATTTTGATAATGTTTTAGCTTTGGGTAAATAATGTACTATATCAAAATAACACATTAAGCTCTCTATGAAGTTTCGTGCAATGAATTTTGGAAAAATTGGATATGGCTTATGAGCAGCCATTTTTTTTGCATATGCATCAAGGGTCTAACGAAAAACCTGGTAAGATTGCATACATCTTGACCCCAGACCCTAATGGAGTTGGGAATATACTGGGCTTGTTGTTGGTGGTGAGTTACTAACTCGATATCATGTGTGTGGGTGTGGGGGGGGGTTGTAATTTCATTTCTTTGCACGCATGAGCTCACTATGTATATTTTACTGCTTTTGAGATATGAATCCTATTCCTTGTTACTGAATAGAGATTCCCGATTTATTCTCATTTAGTTATTTCTACTTATTGCAATTAGTGTTGTTTCATTTAAATTTTTATTTTCCGATTTCTAACTCCGGTGCAGAGAGAGTACTTCAAACAAGGAAAAGTTGAACAGTTTCGGCAAATATTGGAGGAGGGATCTAGCCCAGGTACTGTTTTTGCATAACTGTGAACTGCGAGCAATACTTAATTAACATTCTATTCATTATTGTATCTATTGTCTTGCTGAGAATTATAAAGTATGAAATTATTATTATTATTTAATTTCTTCCTTCAATGATCAGTCTGAAAATTTTAGATGGTGTTATTGCTTGTGTATAAATTGCCTGTATTTGGATCACCACTATGCAGAAATTGATGAATATTACGCTGATGTGAGGTATGATAGAATTGCAATTTTAAATGCATTGGGGGCATATTATAGCTATCTTGGGAAGATCGAGACAAAACATAGAGAAAAGGAGGATCATTTTATAATGGCAACTCAGTACTATAATAAAGCATCACGGATTGACATCCACGAGCCTTCTACCTGGGTTGGGAAAGGTAAAAGCCAAATTATTGATCCGGGATAGTATCAACGGGGTAGGGTTGAAATGTTAGCTGTCAGACGATGTCAGAATGACTGGCTATATATGTCTTCTTTACAGGTCAGCTTTTACTGGCTAAAGGAGATATAGAACAGGCATTTGCTGCCTTCAAGATTGTATTGGATGGAGATCGAGACAATGTTCCTGCCCTCCTTGGTCAGGTATTATCAGTTCATATTTTTTTGTTTAATATATTTCACAGCTTCATTCGGTTTAATAGGTTATGCACACTGAGGCTGTTAGATTGTTTGATGACTTGAATATGTGTTTGGCTTTCATATTCATTGATGACTCTATTTACCTGCCTTCAGGCATGTGTTCAATTTAGTCGGGGAAAGTTTTCAGATTCATTGGAATTATACAAGGTTTGCTTAATTCTCCATATTTATTTTAGTATTTAATTTTAAAAAAGTTGTGCTTTAGACCCCGGATTGAAAATAATTCCTTCAACTAATTAAGTCAAAGGATCTTGGGTGAAATTATAGTTTCTTTGTAATGATTTTTTGTCATCTATATACTTTGGTCAGAGGGCTCTGCAAGTGTTTCCTCAATGTCCGGCTGCTGTTAGACTTGGAATTGGTCTTTGCCGATATAAGTTGGGTCAATTTCTGAAGGCAAAGCAAGCATTTCAGCGTGTCTTGGAGGCAAGTTAACCTTGGCTTATTGATTGACAATTTGATTATCAAACCATATTTAATGCATTTTTTTAAACGTGACATCGACCTTTTTCTCATCATCACAATGATTCTGGAATTGTAGTTAGATCCAGAAAATGTGGAGGCTCTTGTTGCACTTGCTATTCTAGATTTGCAAACGGATGAAGGTGAGAATCAGTTCATCAACGGGATCAGTGTAATGATGTAGAAGAATAAAGAATGGATTACCTTGTGTCCTGTTTCCATGTTTTTGGTTATTCTGGATTAATAAGCCTCTAAACAAGATGTCATATTATTCATCTTATCTGATATCCGTGTAATGTCTTTGAACAGCTGGTGACATTAGAAGTGGAATGGAAAAGATGCAAAGAGCTTTTGAGATATATCCTTATTGTGCGATGTCACTGAATTACTTGGCCAATCATTTTTTCTTCACCGGCCAACATTTTCTTGTTGAGCAACTCACTGAAACTGCACTTGCTGTTACTAATCATGGGCCAACTAAGTCACATTCTTACTACAATTTGGCACGCTCGTATCATAGCAAGGTTCATGTCTCATCCTTCAATCAATCTTAATTCTGTCACCTTACAAATTTTTTGTTGGTATAATCCTTTTAACATCTTCTATTATGGTGCCTTACATTATCCCCTTTATTGGTGTGGAGGTATTGTGACACTTGAGTGCTCTATTTCATTGATATTTTAATTTTATAGCTTAAGCATAGTTTAGAAACATAGGCTTGTTTATGAACAATATTTACTTGAGTATATTTAGAAAGTTAGCCTTGTTTAGTTACCATTGATATATGTTTTGTGTGTAAAGTGGCTGTTAATATGTACTCCGTATTTAGCAATTAATAGAAAGTATGGACAAGATGTAAACTAGCTTTTCTTTCTTTTCTTTCGTTCTTTTGTCATCTTTGTATACACCATGCTCCCCATATAGAGGGATTAGTCTTCTTGACCCATGTAATTAAATTCCTATATATGAGACCTTAGAAGTAGCGTAATGTAAGGGCGCAAATTTTTCTATGTCTGGAATTCAACCGTTACAAACACTATTTTCTACGGAGTATTTTCCATCTACAGTTTCCCAAACTTTTATTTGCTATTAGAATTTGGAAGACTAGAAAATGTGTTCAATGTTCAAAAGTAGTTATTTTCCAAGCTCTTGTTAATCATGGAGAAGTACTCCATATTTATTTCATGCTCATTATGTATAAGGAGTTCTCTTGTTTAAGTTGGGGTCTCTTGGAGATGGTCTCTCTACTTCCTAGTAGGGGTAAGGTCTAAACCCTAAAATTGTAACATATATATTGGATCATGTTCAGTTTGTTACAAATTCATTTACTCTGATTCCTTTGAAGTCATTTTGGGATCAAGCTTGTTCTTTTACCTCCATTTGGACATATGCAGTAGAGAGCAAACATTGTGTGCAAATGACAACACACTCTTATAGTCTTATATGCTTGGTCCAATGGTCCATTCATGAAAAATTGATTATTCAAAATGTGCATATCAGCACCCTGTTCTTTTGAGTTGGAATATCAGAGTTGGATGCTGGAAGAAACTGGAAGGAGTTGAAAATAACAGGAAGGAGTTGGAAAATGTTGGAAAAATTAAAGTGTTCAAAAATCTTAATTAAATGATCACCCAAATAAATATGTAAGAAAAATCTAATTTTGGATAAAGAAGAATTCATTCTTGTCCGTGCTTGAGGTGTTATGTTATAAATTTGGATATATAATGTTATTGTATGTTCATCATATATAAATATCTTTTTTAAATCGTTGGATGAAACTGGGCGAAGTTGGAAGGAACTGGAAGGAGTTGGAAAAAGTTGGAAGTTAATTTTTCCAACCCAAAAGAACAGGGCCTTAGTAACCATTCACCTTCAAACCTACTCCTTCCGTCCAAAATTAGATTCCTACATTCCTCTTTTGGCTCGATAAGCTTCTCATTCCTTTTTGAAGAAAAGTTTTGCAGCTCTAAGAAAGTGACTGCCCACTTCACACAAAATTTGTGGCTCGAAACAAATGCCTAAATGTTTGTGCCAAAAGCTAATGGGAACACTATATTGGGAATTGGGGACAGAGGGGTATGAATGCATCATTTTTAGTACTTTCTGTCCCCTTTGTATATTCCTACTTTTCTTTTTGGGCTGTCCCTAAGGATTTTCTTTTTCCTTTTAAGTAAGAAATGAGGTGGTTCATACCCTTCCATTCCTTTCTACACTAATCTCAAACGCAAATTTATTTTCTTAAACTTTGTGTCAGTGTGTGTGTATACATATACATATACATATACATATACATATACATATACATATACATATACATATACATACATATATATATATATATATATGTATGTATGTATGTTTGTGTGTGTGTGTGTATCTACTGCCGGTGACTGTTTTTATACAGTTAAGTTATTAGTAAGGCAAAGTCATGCATGTTTTTCTATTTGCAAAATTTTGGAAAACACAATGTTTTTCTATTACATTTTATATTGGGAAATGATTGATTAATGGAAAATGACATTTTTGACCCCTTGGTTGTGGGGAGCAAGTCGATTTAATCTGTCATTGCATCTATTCCATAAGTTGTCAACATTGTAGCAGATCTCCACGGTATTTCCAATCATACATGAAGGTTGTCGCTTTGGATTACTATTAGGAATCTGTATTATCAAGAAGAAAATTGTAAAGTCATAAAAAAAACAACAAACATATAGGGGTTTAGAATTTTAAAGTCAGGCGTAATGTTTTCAGCAATTCAACGACTAATACTGCCAAACCACTGATAAGTCACGGACCAAATGTAGTGACATGTATAACTGAGGGATTGCGTTGCTTTAATTTCTTTTTGTGCAACTGGGGGTTTAAAAGGGGAACTCTGTTTTTTCATTTCATGTTTTCGATTTTCACAAAAGGAATAGTCTAGTAAACACACTTTGTTTTTACTTTCTTGATTTGTTTATCTGTTTAAATGAAAATAAAGATTTCAATGTCTCTTCTTGACTGATTTTGGTGTTTCTTTTGGGTTCAATTGGTCAGCCAACAAACACAAATTCTCCAATCTCTATATTGCTTAGCTTTTGCATACCACAGTTTAGTGGGCTTACTATAGTTAAAATCAATGCTAAGTTAAATAATAACGGGTATACCATCAACTTGAAGAATTATGCATCTTTGCCTGTGGTAGGATTTGATTTTCTGATTCATTCAATATCCTAATGATAGGTACATTTTTACTGACTCAGGGAGACTACGAAAAAGCTGGAATGTACTATATGGCATCAGTAAAAGAAATCAACAAGCCACAAGAATTTGTATTGCCCTATTACGGTACCCCGGCTATTGTTTCTTATTTGTATTGTAAATTCTACCACAACATTTTATAGCTTCTTTTAGTCTTAGGTGTTAATATTCTTCGTGTGAACAATGGACCTGTGATTATTATGTTCAGTTACCTTTTTGTTTTCATAGTTAGACTCCTCGTTTATTCAACACCCGGTGAATACTATGCCCTTGAGTTATTTATCTCTACTTCCTTGGTGCGCACACAGACACACAAACACTCTTCATTAATAGCAATAGTCTGACAGAAACAATTAATACATTTAATAGTGACAGCTTGTTAACAAAATTAATTAACATTGAATTTCATACCACTGGGCACTGACGCCAACTCATTGGGATTAAGTTGCTGGTGATAATGGATCCCCAATTCCAGCACTAATATTTTGGCTATAATTTGCTACATTGGTTTCTCTGAAAACTTTCTACCTGAGTGATCATGTGTCATTCACTATCCAAACAATGAAATAACTAATACCATGTATTTCATATCACCTAAAAAATGATATTCGGTTTAACATATGTTAATAGGATGATACATATAGTATTACCCTCGTTCAATGCTCTATGTTCTCAATGAAACTGTGCACAGCATATACACACTTTACACCATATCTGGACCATTTAGGGAGAGGAAGTGCATTGCAACATGACAGTGCAAGGCTTGAGAAAGTGGGCCTTGCTCATTTTCTGCTTACTCGTGTTTCATCCCTTGTGATAGGGCTTGCCCAAGTTCAACTGAAATTGGGAGATCTTAGGAGTTCACTTTCAAATTTTGAAAAGGTATTGGAGGGTTATCCAGAGAATTGTGAGACACTTAAAGTAAGTTTTTTGAGGTATTTGGCTCATTTTCATTCTTGAATCTGCTCCACTTTTCTCCCTTCTTTTGCAAGTCTAACTCACCTGTGTTTGGCATAGTCTCTTTCCCACATTTATGTGCAACTTGGGCAACCAGAGAAAGGTTTGGAGTATTTAAGGAAAGCCACCAAAGTTGATCCTCGTGATCCTCAGGTTATTATCCTGTCATATGAAATTTATTTCTAACAATTTAAGAGGTGCTGCTTACCATGAGGATGGGCAGCCAAAAGGAAAATAAAGGATGGGGATAAAAGGCTTCTCTGAAGAAATTAAACACTTGCAACTTTACATTGATACACCAACCACTTTTCCTTTTGTCTAAAAGAAGCGGTTGTAGTCGTTTTTATCAGTTTTAAATTCTACAGTGGCACAAAGGCTTGTTTCTCTCATACAGCTATCTGAGTGTTGGACTTGTTGCCTTGTAGTCCGATCATATCATTCCTTAATCGTATGTGAGCACTTTTCTGTTCTACCATATGTAGTATGCAGGATTGCAAGTCATTAATGTGGTGCATTTTGCAAATATTGAATGTACTACTACTACACCAGCAATTTACTTCATAAGGCGTGCTTGTTTTCAAACGTTGTATGAGTCATGTTTAATAAGACATAATGTTTACATATTTTCATAGTCCCCAGTTCAATTGAATTAAAATATTTCATGTGGCACCGTCTAATGTACTTTTATCTGGTTATGTGAATGTAATAATACCTAAAATTTTATTTTTTTGATAGTGTATTCATTTGGATTCTTAATAGGCATTTTTGGATCTTGGTGAACTGTTAATTTCAACAGATGCAGGTGCTGCTTTAGATGCCTTTAAAACAGTAAGAATCTTAGCCTCTGTATTTATGGAATTGCCATGTTTCTACTTCTTAGTGATCATTGTAATTTTTTTATTCTGTATATAATTATCATTTTTGGAGGGAAGCCTGAAGGGTGTGGGGTTAGAAACCTGATCTGAAAATTCCTACTTCTGAAGAATCCTAGGTTTATCTAGCTTGAAAGAAGAAGTTACCCCTTATCACTTTGTATAATATCTACATATCTATATAATATTAGGTGTATTTCTTTCATAAGAAGTACTCCCTCTGTCCCACTATTTTTGTCCATTTTAACTTTTTTGTCTACCCCACTATTTTTGTCACATACCATATTTGGTCATATTTGTGTGGTTCACATTCATTCTTACTTTATCTTACTTTTAAACATCAATATCAACCACACAATCATACTTTTCTCAATCTCTGACCCCCTCATGTCCCAAAAATAGCGGGACGAAGGGAATACTATTTCTAGCATGATGGGATTTTTTATTTTTTAATTTTGCATCTGTGCTATGTTGAAAATTCTGTAATGGAAAATTGAACTTCCCAATCACGCATCTTAGATTAACACTTGTCGAGGACTTGGATGGGTAAGACCTCATGCACAGTTGCACACTGCTGTGTGTGTGCTCTTCTTTCTCTCCCTCCTTTTTTTCCTGCACCAAGAAGTGGTTATTTAGCTTTATGAAGTGCCTGCAAAATAATTTTTAGTTTTTGTTAGTTGTATTTTCTTCCAATTGATAATATTCACACTATAGGATGATTAAATATAAATTCTTGTGCAGGCACGTAATCTACTGAAAAAGGCAAATGAGAAAGTACCTATTGAGCTACTCAATGACATTGGCGTCCTTCAGTTTGAAAGAGGAGAACTTGAGGTTCGATACCAGCTTCAGTTTTATTTTGCAATATGTGCTAGTAGTTGCATGCAGGCTCGAACTTATATTAAGAATTCAACATGTAGAAAATACTCTTTGGTGGTTCATTAATTTGAACAACTGAATTGTCTGTTGACTATCAGCTTGCAGGACAAAGTTTTAGGGATGCTCTAGGTGATGGCATATGGTGCAAGTTCCTCGGTGCCAAACTGCAGTCTGATGCTAATGTGAACGTTCCTAACTGTGAAGGTCTCCAACATTCCAATGGTGAAGTATCGTGCAATCTTTTCAAAAGTGTGCTATATCCAATGGATGCCAGTGCATCCATCCATCAATACAAAGACATCCAAATGTTTTGCAAACTTGAGGAACAGGGCATTGCTGTAGAACTTCCCTGGAATAAAGTTACTGTACTTTTTAACCATGCAAGATTACTAGAACAGCTATATGACACAGAAACAGCTAGTATCTTTTACCGCTTGATCTTGTTTAAGGTGAGCACATGTGTTTAATATTTTATACAATGATGGTAATGGTGCATTAAGAATGAATCTAGTGGTTCTGGGCTTGTTTTTTCATTAGGTTTTTCATCCTTAGCTTAAGTAAACTGTAAATAAAACATGTGAACAATGGTGGTATTTTCCTTGAAAGGTGTACCAGACAGAATTGAATGCTGCGTAGATCTTTTTTTTATATATGGTTTTGAACGGAAAACTGCTAGACGTAGCTAACTTTCTGGACATTGAGGCTGCGAATATACCATCATGTGATATTACTGGTGTTACTTTACTCTGATGATGCATCGGTTGATGTGGGGGAGGGGGGAACTGGCTGCTGCTGCTGTAGTGTTCGATCGACGGTGCTGAGTTATAATTCCTTCAATCTAACATCTGTGAACTTGAAACAGCTTCTACTGAATTTAGCGTTCATGATTATCCTGGCGGCAACCTATATGGAGTGATCTTGAGTTCTCAACCAACCCTCGATTGAGCACTGCAGTGGCTAGGGTGTTGACTTCCACATCAGCGCCATTGTCTTTTCTATTCTGTAAAATCTTGCAGCGATGAAATGCATATAGTTTATTTTGTCTGTTAGTTTTTTTCTTCTTTTGTATTGTTCATTTGTTACTAATACAATATTTTCATCATTTTATTTGGTTTCAGTATCCAGATTATGTAGATGCCTATTTGAGACTTGCTGCAATAGCCACAGCCCGAAACAATGTTCAACTTAGCCTTGAGCTGGTTGTTCCTCTAACAGCTCTACTACTTCACTCTACTTTTCTATCCTTTTATTCAATTCCATCTCATTAATGCAAGACACTTTGGTTCATAGATCGGTCATGCTCTCAAAGTGGATGATAAGTGCCCAAATGCATTGTTAATGCTTGGGAACCTTGAAATTAAGAATGATGATTGGGTCAAGGCAAAAGAAACATTTCGGGTGGCTAAGGATGTGACCAATGGACCTGAATCTTATGCTACTCTTTGTCTGGTATGAAATTGTGCACACTAACTTTGATATGATATACATCATATGTTTATAAGAATTTCTTATCTATATGCAGATATTAGATAACTATTTAGCTGTAATTTCTAGCTCATTACAAATGTTGATGATGTATTAGTCTTGTAGTCTGTAGAGTAGGTTATGATGATGTATTAGTCTCTAAAGTAGTTTGTAACATCTCTTTTGTAAAGCTTGATGAGTAGAGCATGATTTTTTTTGAAGTAGAGCATGATCTTTAGTTTGTCTTATACTCCGTATTCAACTCCGTCTGAACCTACCCAAAAGAGGGGGATTGTTCTATTGACTCTTCGTAACAAGTTTCTTATTTAAAGGTCCTTATCTGATTGTAGTGAAGTGTGAAGTAACAAATAATTCCATCATGATATTCAAGTAATATGATGGTATTAGATATGATCAACTTCATCACTCTTGCTTCTACTTGATACTGGGCATACTACATAAGCTCATTGTTTTTTTTTTTGACATTTTAAGGGAAACTGGAACTACTTCGCTGCAATTCGCAATGAGAAAAGAGCACCCAAATTGGAGGCTACACATCTGGAGAAGGCTAAGGAACTCTATACAAAAGTATTACTTGGTGCACCACATAGTCATTTTCCTGATTGTGTTCTACTCCTGATTCTTGCATGCATGAAATATAATATGCTGGCCTGAATAATAATGTGCAAAAAGCGTTTAATGAACAAACGGGTCCATAAATCTTCTATCTTTCATCACTTGTTGGTTAAAGAATTTTGAGTATTCCTCTTATCAGGGGTTCTTTTTAATAGTCTCATACTGATGTATACTAAGATGCCATATTCTACCAGGTTCTCTCTCAGCAGCACTCTAGTCTATATGCAGCAAATGGCACTGGTGTTATTTTGGCAGAAAAAGGTCAATTTGATATTTCAAAGGATCTTTTCACTCAGGTTGTTAAAATTTTATACTCCGTACTTTGTTACACTTGGGGAAAAAAATTATGGGTTATAATTTTTTGACTGTCCATTCTTGTAGGTTCAAGAAGCAGCAAGTGGGAACATTTTTGTCCAAATGCCAGATGTATGGATTAATCTTGCACATGTTCACTTCGCCCAAGGAAACTTTGCACTTGCAGTGAAAATGGTTTGTCTTCTATTAACTTCTTTAATGGAGAAAGTTAATTCTTTTAAACTTTATGCCTCACGCTCTGATGGTTTTGGAATTTTGCAGTATCAGAATTGCTTGAGGAAATTTTATTACAATACCGACAGTCAGGTGCTTCTCTATTTAGCAAGAACACATTATGAAGCTGAGCAGTGGCAGGACTGCAAAAAGTCTCTGTTAAGAGCCATTCACTTGTCACCTTCAAATTATACTTTAAGATTTGATGCGGGAGTAGCATTGCAAAAGTTCTCAGCTTCAACCTTACAGAAGACAAAGAGGACTGTTGAAGAGGTTTTCCAAACAAACCCTCCTTTCTTTTTATGCCTTCTTCCTTACCTGTTAAGACATTAGCATTCTCACTTCCCCCTCTTATTAAGTGTTGGTATTCGATAAGCAGCTTTCCAGCAGAACATTATGGGCCAAGGGAATTATCGAAGTTAATTCCATTCATTCAAGTTTATGACCATATAGAAAACGATATCTCATTGACTTATTTATTTGTTTATTTTGAGGAAGGTGAGGTCAACTGTTGAAGAGCTTAATAATGCTGTTCGGTTATTCAGCATGTTATCTACTGCTTCAAATCTTCACCTTCATGGGTTTGATGAGAAAAAGATTGAGACTCATGTTGACTATTGCAAGCTCTTGCTTGAGGCGGCAAAGGTCCATTGTGAGGCAGCAGAGCTAGAAGATCAACAGATTCGAGCAATGCGAGAACTTGCACGTCAGGTTGTCGTGACTGAGGAAAATGAAAGAAAAGCTGAGGAACAGAAAAAATACCAAGTAAATGCCAATATATTAGCACAGCGTAAATGTTTAAGCATTCTTACATGTTACAGATATCTTTATTTGCTCTGTATTTTTCATATTCAATCTCTGAAACAACAGATGGAGAGACGGAAACAGGAGGACGAACTTAAGCAAGTGATGCAACAAGAAGAACACCTATTGCGCAAAAAGGTAATTACTTGCCTCAGTTCTATGTGAAGCTTTTTGTAGATTCCATCTTTCCATATTATTTTGGTATTTCATTGATGCTTTATAGTCCTCCCATATGCTATAAGTCTATGCATTTTCTTTGGACACAATGCACTAAATGGTTATAGTTCCAGGTGACCAATAATTCAGCAGTGCTGTAGTTGGATGTTTGTTAGATATTGTAGGAGTATGTACTTAAGATAATTCTCGAAAGATCGCATATTTAATTAAATACTTGTTCCAAATGAAACTATGGTGTGTTCCTTAAAAATATTATCTGAACTTTTCTTCACGTGTTATGAACTTTCTTTCATTTTTTTTCTTTTACATTTCCCTCCCCCTCCCTCTCCCCCCATATGAATTCAGGCCTTACATTTTGGATCTTTTGTTAAGGAACAATGGAAAAGTAGCACTCCTGGCTCTAAGAGAAAGGACAGGTCCCACGCTGGAGATGAAGAGGGGGGCAATGGTGACCGTAGGAGGAGAAAAGGTGGGAAGCGCAGAAAAAGGGACAATAAATCTCGCTATGATTCTGAGGATGCATTTATGGATGATCAAGAGGATATGTATGGAGATGCCAATATGAATTACAAAGATCACGAAAACGTTGAAGCAGAAGAGAACAATCCACAGGATCTGCTTGCAGCAGCTGGGCTTGAAGATTCTGATGCTGAGGATTATGATGCAGTAATTCTTTCATCTTCCATATAGACAGATTTTTGTTGTTATCATATGCTCACATGTAATCAATTTTTACTGTCAATGTTTTGATTGATGCAGTCTCAACCTCCATCAAATGTGAAGAGGAAGGGGCATGAGTGGTCTGAATCAGAGGAGGAAGATGAACCATTGCAGAAGCAGGATACTGACAGAGGTGATGACGATGGCAGCGAAAGGCAGAATGAAGATGTCGATGCTAATGACGAGTGAGGCACCAAATAAATGCCTAAAGGATCTGAAGCTTGTTTCCCCGATTATAGAGGCAATCAAGGCTAAATTTTATACCATAAATTAATCACTCTTATTGAATATGCCGTCCACTGCACAAAGCATCCTCACTGAGCTAGGGTCCAAGAAAGGGTCACACCATTAGGGTGTGATGTAGTCAGCTGCACTGGAAAGCCCTTGGAATTTTTCTTCTTTTTTTAATGTTTTTACTAAGAGTAGCTAACACAATTTACTTTTCATTGAATTTATATGTTGTATTAGTACAAAGTGTATATGACATGCTTATAGCCTGCATTTCAGCCACTGCAATGTCATGTAACCTTCCAAGAATCTTGCAGGGGATTAAAAGACCATTTGTTTGGAGAATCCAACGAAAGAAAACCAACGATTAATATTCAGTTTTGGTCATATTGCTTGCTCAAATGTGGGGAAGAGAGGGAGGGTGGTGGCTTGATTACACAAGATGTTGTTGAAGGTTTGCTCGAACTCGGTCTAAGAATGACCGACCCGTGATGTCGCTTTTGACACTTACATAGACTAAACCTGGTGTGTGGGTGGGGAGGGTGGGAATTTGTATGAATGTTGAGCAATGACATTAAAGTGAAGAACCATGCTGGGGAACCCCACATTTGATATAGTATGAATTTTTTGAACACTAATAACTCTATTACAAGGTAGTATATGTCCGTACATTCCCAACTTATTAAAGGCCAGGGAGTTATTGTCACTACAAGGATTCAAAGACATGACCTCCCGTTTGGGAGAGTCATAGCGATGCTAATAGACTATAAGGTCTTTGGCTTGAATATATAGTATGATAAATATGATACGAAGTACCCTGTAAATAATATTCTCTCTGTGTCTACTTTCTCTCTTCTTGCATTCTTTTTGGTAGGGGTGGGCGCGGTTCCTAACGGTCCGTGATACTACCGGAACCTATCACGGACCGCTCTTATTTAAACTGTTCGGTACCGGTACGAGATGAATTCTAAAATCATTCGGTACCATTCCGTTTTAGAACGGAACGTTACACTACCATACATATGCTTAAACCATGCCAAAATATTAAACATGCATTTTTCAAAGAATATTAAAATAAAAGTATAATTGTGTATAAAAACACACAAATTTATTTTAAAAAATGTATTGATTTCAAATCGACATGGACACTTGAAAACAATTAAAAAGCTCACTGTCAATCCATAGGTCACTTATATTCATACTAAAGCCAAACAACATAAATTACTGCCAATCACAATAAATTTCATAGGCACACTTAAGTTACTGCTTCAATCTCTGCCTTTTGGTTTTTGTCCTATTTGAGTGCTCGATTTCTGCCCTATTTTGATTTTTGAGGATAATTTTTAATTTGGGAGTAAATTAATTTTTACTCCGTAGTGCGTATGAGTAAGCCCACTAGCCCAGAATGGCAACATGGGTTATTTAGGGGTTTTGGGCATTAAGGTCTTTAGCATAGAAAATAAATTAATTAATAAAACTACTTAAATTTTAAATTAGTGATATTTAATGTCTAATATCTTTAATAGCCCAATATAATTTTTACAAAATATATGGAATTTTAAACGGTCCAGGATTACCGATATTTAATTTTTGTATCACGGTACCGTCCCGTCTGAGAGCGGTTCGTGATCGGTTCGTGATGAAAAAATTAAATCCTATTTCAAAATAGACCAAACGGTACGGTACCATTATGGTTTGGTTTGGACCATGCTAACTCGGTTTTTTTGCTCACCCCTAGAAAAAGATCTACATAATTGACAAATAAAGTATAGCAAAAAGACTAGTGTAAAAAACATGATTTAGGCTTAGATTTAAAGATTTATGATGATAAAGATGAATTGGGTTGTATGAAGTATGAACTTTATTTTTAAATTAATTTTTTTAAAATATGAACTTTGGATATCCTTGGATATATGGAATCTTAATGTTTCATTTCATACCCAATCCGGTTTTTTCTGAAAATCTGATTCGAAATATTCGAAAGCTAAAATATCAGATCGAATATCTATTTTTTATCGAACTATCGGATCGAATATTTTTGAACACCCCTAGCGCTAATAACCCGTGCCTTGGTTGAGTGAGTGTGTTCTTCCAAAGCATCATAGCTAAGTGTAAGTCCAAAGTTTGTTGAACTCCGCCTTGAGCTCCGGATCGAAGGTGTCCACGTACATCTTCTCCTTTATAAGAAATGAAGGATAACAATTTACAACTACTGGTTTTTTTTTTTGCTCTGAAAAATAATGTCCGCTAAAAAAGCTTAATAAGCAAAAAAGCACAAGTCACTATTATAGATTCTCTATAACTTTTGTTTTTTTATGTGTTTTCATTGATCATTTAATAAACTTAAAAAGTCATGTCACATTTTTTTTTTGTAAACTTTTGACTTAGTTTTTAAATATGTAAATTATTTTTTGTTTTTTTGTAATATGACTTTTAAAATTTATCAAATATTTAATGAAAACACATAAAACATAAGAGTTGTAAAGAATTCATACTGAATAATACTCCCTCCGTTCTCAAAAACACTTCCTCTTTCATTTTTTCCAGTTCCAACAAAACACTTCCTCTTTCTATTAAAAAACCACTTTTACCCTTACTTTTTCATACCTTACCTATCACATCATACTTTTTCTCTAATAATCTATCCATCACATCTTACTCTTACCCATCACATCAGGGGCAAAATTGGAAATCAACTATAATTTAACACTTCTTATTTTTGACCCCAAATCAAAATGAGAAGTCTTTTTGCAAACGGAGGGAGTATAAAGATTAAAAGAGTAAGAGAGTGAGATTTGATAATTGAGTAAAGAAAGTAGAAAATGGAAGGAGTGTTTATAGCAAAATACGCAAGAAAACCCTCATCCCCATCCATGCCCCCAACGGCTATAATGCCATCGGGTTCGGGCTTACAACGATGGTAAAAGCAATTGTTCACCGCAACAACTACAATCAAAGAAAAAAAGAATCAAGATCAGAACCATCGATTCTGGTACAAAAAAAAACCTAAACCAAAACCCCCGCCTTCCAACATTTTGGAGACTGGTTCCCCATCTCCGAAACACCCCCCCAATCCCCTACACCGGTTTCGGGTCTGAACGGGCCTAGGGTGGGACTATGGAAGTAATGGGGTGCACAAAGGAGAAGAAGAATGGAAGTAAAGTCACTAAAGGGGTGAGTGAGTTGCAGTGGGTGGGCAGTGGCATTGCATTTAGCACTGTGTAAAAAGGGCAGTGTCTCTCTGTGCCTGCCTGCTGATGGGTCTGATCAACAAAGTACTGACCAATTTACCTGACCCATCCATCAAAGAATCCCTCCCATAGTGGAAAAAGTAAGCAAAACCAAATCCCATAGATATTTACTAGGAAAGATGCCCTCCTTCTATTCATAACAATTTTCTCTTTTTTTCCCAATACACTTCCTTTCCTTTTTTTTTTATTAAAAGTCTCTCATTTTAATTTTAACTAAAAATGTGTCCTTCCTATGTCCGTTTCACGAAAATCGGAAGAATTTTTATAAAGCGATAATGTCCAAAATAAGACTCCCGCCACTTGGTCTGGAGCTCTGTCACTTGGACCCCGCCATGAGCTGCCGCCTGTGGACCCCACTATGCATTTGTAATATTATTGAACGAGTGTGCACACCGTGCCTCCTAAACTCGCTTGGCAACGTGCATTGAAATACTTGTCTGATCCAAGTAAAACACAATTACACAAAATATCCGAAACATTAAAATCACCAACCTCATTAGGATGATGCATTTCAGGGGTTGGAAATGTAAGGTTATTATGGTAAATTTATTTCTATTGGCTCTCATTAGGGGTAAAAAAAGTAAGGGTATGATAGTAAATATAATTGTATGGGGTATCATTAATTTGTGTAGTCCCTACTCCCTAGGGTTTGTAATGCTGCAGAGGTATTTAGACTAAGAGTCACACACACACACATAGTAATAGTAAGAGGAGGAGGAGCTTTAAGTGAGTCAGAAGTTCTTTTGTTGTGTAGTCTGCTTTTGCAGGGAGAGCTGTGCTGTGCAGGCTGCCCATTGTCAGTATTCTGACACCTCAATTTTGAACCATTATTATTCCACTTTCCCCTGCTTTTCAATTATCTATTCTCCCCCTCAGAGCATCCCCATCCGTTAAAAAAACTTTCTTGAGATTTGGCTTCTTCTTTTCACGCCATGCCCCCTTCACTCTCACATAGGATAGGGATGACAATTCAATCTGAACTCCGATCAAACCATAAAGTATTCAACCTTGAATTGAGAATAAATTATCCAAATCCGACCCGCTAATGTGAAACCTAAACACGAACTAAATCAGGTTGGGGATGAATATGCCACATCTAAACCGAACCCGAGTCATTGCTATACCCACGGTCTCACCTAATCTATTCCTCTCTAAAAGGATGGAAATATCATTGAGGGTTTCCTCGCGACCGATAGGATTCCGCGAAGAGGTAAATTGAGCTACAATCACAAATTGATAGACAAATGGCGGAACTTACACTTGATACTTACAAATTAAAGCCTATATAATTACCATACTTGCATCTCAGCATTGTTCTTAAGAATCAAACTTAGGTTCACCCCCTTTGGCACAACTTAAGCTCCAAAGGTAATTTGTCAGCCATACTAGCGACCTACACGGTGGAGGTTTGAATTTTGAAAAACGATTATTTGTATCCGGCTCCTTGTATGATAAGATGAACTGTGACGAAATTTTTACATTTTCTGGTCAGTTAGACACATCTCGCGATTTAGCTCTTCCATCAATCCTGGATAGGGATGTAGGGACAACTATGGTGATTCTTCCCTCCCCCCTTCCCCTCCTTTTTTTTGAGGCAAATAAGAGTTTCTATTTCTAATAATGATATTTTTGAGTGAAATAATTTTTTCTAGTTAGATGTATTTAAGAAATGATGTAAACTTTTAAACATGAAATTTATACCTTTAAAAGTTATATCAAAGAGTCTATAAGATGAAAGGTAACAAAATATTACTTCCTTTGTTGATTATAGATCTTCTAAGTTTTTTGTTAATTTTAAAGAGATGTGAAAAAGGTGCAAGTTAACTAAAATATCCTTAATGAAAGTGGTGGAGCTTATTTAATGAGGTGAGTGAGGTGTAACATATACATATGTGAGGATATTTATGATATTTTAAATATTAAAAAAATATGTGAGAAATATTTATGATATTTCTTGGTTGATTATTTTATAAAATAGGATAATAATGTCACATCTTATTTTATAGAGCTTATATGTAATTTTGAAATATTTAATTTGATTTTTTTCTGACTAATTTGTGAATAAAATAATTTTAATTTTTTTGCACATTGTTCAAAGTAAGAAAATATTTTTAAGAAAGAG